CAGTTAAGTTATAGTTACATGTCTTAATTTGAAATGACACTAATCCCTTCTTTTTTTCTTGTCAATTACCTTAATACAACACATTCAGCTTATGAATAATGAGTTAAAATAATTTACACAGTAATTAATTAAATAAGATACTGGGACTTAATGCACAAAAATGTGTAATTGTTTAAAAGTAAGTATTCTTGTAAAGTACATCATATACGTTTACTAGAAATTGTACACCTAAGATTTTGTCTCGTTATAAGTATTGAGTGGGTAAAAGAGAAAATGTATCAACAAATCAAAATATTTTAAAGGCTTTCAACATTTAACAATTGGTATTATCAAAGCTAATGAAAAACAAATTAAAAGTGGTTATTATTACAGATTTACATCAGTTGAAGTACCAGGTAGCATATTGGATAGCTATTTCATTCATAGTATAAGATTGTTCGGTAGTGCGAACCCACAACTCAGACTAGGATTAAATCCAAAATCTTTATTTCTCTCGATCACTAAAAGAAAAGCAGTTTGTCATGAGGATCGCTTTTTTATGGCACCTTTCATGATATATATATATATATATATATATATATATATATATATATATATTGCAAAGCTTTAATTATCTTTTATCAAGAATTTCTGTATGTGTATAAACATTCATTTTACTAAACTAACTTCACCAATAAACTTTGAAACATATGAACCCCGCCTTATCATGATAATCTCAAGAAAATAAAATGTAAAAAAGTTTGAATACATGAAATATGAACAAAATTATTAGTTATTTCTAAAAAAAATAAATCCTATTTTGACCAATCGTCAAGACATTTACCATGTAACCGTTTGCTTAATATTAGATTGTATGAGATATGAATTATATTTATCTATTTACATTTATAATATAAATTAATGATTAAATCTACATTAAAATGATTTATACTACCAGTGGAATATCATCACAACATGTAAAGCCATATGCGTGTAGTCTGGAGGTACAATTTTTAACAAAGTTTCCTAACCCCCCATCCTTTCAGTTAACAGTTTTCTAACGAACTGCTTAATGCATCATACTAGAAGTTTCCCTATATGACATAGTCTACTTTAAGTAGTAGGTAAAAAATCAAGGTAAGAAAATGTTTTGAACTATATACAAAACATTTCCGAATACAGAATATACACACGTTCATATGTATATAGGATATTATTTGATATGTTATAAGCCTCGGTGATATTTGTGAATTAAAACTTTACAATGACAATGTAAGTGATAGACAAGTAAGCACTGTATTTACAACGGTTTGTACTATTAAGTTGTTGGTGTTCTAAGACTGAAATTTATCGGTCTCATTCTGAGCAGACTTTCTTGACATTGTCATCTAGTCACCAGTTGTAGTAAAGTTTGATTGTCTCTGTCAATGAGCTCCAAAATACTCGTCTCTTTTTTGTGACTCATCAAGTGGATGTATCTATATCAGTTACTAACTGCCACCGAATTTTACTGAGGTAAATATTCTTCCAAATATATGTATATTTATTTAAGAATTTATAACTAAATTTGTAAAATATGCATTATTAGTTCTGTGTAGGACAGTTTTGCGAATTAGTTGAAACATGAATTACTGCTAAACTAAGAAAAGTTTATATCTATCTATATGAATACAATTAATCCAACTACTTTGTAATTTAATGAATAACTCCATAATATTTTAAATCAACTTTTAATCTGTAGCTTCATTCATGAAGTATCTATCTAGTAAAGTTATAATGAAACAATAGGTACAGTAAATAATGTTTGTTTAATGGAACGTCCATCTGTAAAATCCTACTTTTATATCATAATCAACTCTAGATTCATCTATATATTTTCCATTAAATTTTCCGTTGAAAATAAATAGATGTCCAATATTTTGTGAATTTCATTCAAGAAAATTTAATATAACTTTTGATGATGCTCTGATCAGTAATAAAAGAAATAAATACATATACTTAGTAATAATAATTTTCCGAATTGAAGGAAGTCACAGGATTAAAGTCTTTAGAACTAGGTATGATAAATTGGACAAATTATTGCATCGTTTAATATATTTACATCACAAGTGACCGTATTATTTTCAGATAATATCAAGACCAGAGATTGTAGTAATCATATAATTACAAAGCTATTTGCTGTCTAGACTCAGAAGCTCAGTGGATAACAGGTTGGGCTTTTGGAGAGAATGATAGTGGTTTTGAGTCCCAACATCAACATCGGGATGAAGGTACGTCCAGCCGACGAGTCCCAAACAGAATGAAACACATACACTGAATCTTATAGTTAGCCAATATCCAACTTTAATAAAAACGTTCAACTAAATGGTAAACGTTGAGGTGATCCTCACGAAGTGCTTATTTGTCAAAAACTACTGGTCAATGATAGTCCTTAACGCGTCAACAATAGGAAGATATAAAGCCTTTCTAATAATATGATGATCCTCGTAAAGTTAATACTATGGTAAAACACGTCTTTTCTCCGCTTTGTCCTTTTTTCTGTTGACTATTTATGAATTTTTATTGTCCATTTTATGCCACATAGAGAATGTCTCGTAATTTTGAGCGTGTACACTTTCATTTTTCATCAATATTTGTTTAGAAGTTGATGTATATATTTTCATATTTCCATGGAAAAAAAAGCAGTTAGGAGCGGTTATTTGTGATTTCAGTGTTGACTTGTACTTCATATCCGTTAAGATTTTGTTAAGATTTAGTTACGTTTTCTCAGAGGAAATTCACCTGTTCATAGATAGTATTTGCATAGCTGTTTGATTGTAGATTTATCTTAGTCAATTAAGAACAATGTTTGTTTAATGAATCGTTGAGCGAGATTGTTTTGTGTCACTAAGCTGATTTTCTTAAGAATTCGAGAAAAAGTTGCAGACATTTCACCGGCTTTAGTTCCGTAAAAACCAAAGGCGTAAAAATAATCTTTGTCTACTATTAGCCTACTACATTTTTAGTATTAATACATATTACTCAAAAAGTTATAAGTAAGCAAACTTAAAATAACGAAAATGCGTGACTGGTGGATTAAATTCAAATTAAACAGAATAATTGTATGTAATAAGAGAGGAAACAATTCTACCATAAATTCCTTGAGATTTATGCGGTCTATAATTATGTGATCATGGTTGTCTACCTGTGTAGTAAGATGCATTAGTTAAGTGTTTACTTTGAGCAAATGAAAGGGGAACAAATTAATTTTTAATGTTTACATCTGACGATGCAAGCAATCACGTATGATTTAGTTGTTAGGCTGTATTATTTTCAAATAATATAATAGGACTAAACACATTCTCTTGTCAATTCTAATAAATGCAGGCTTTATGTAAAGGTTATTTTCTAAGATGCTCTTCGACCTTCGTACAAAACACTAAAATTCATTTTCTTGATCTTTATTAGATCAACAGTATAGCTGAGTTTTACCCCGATTTTGCATAACTTTCGAGGAGATTCACCGTCAAATTTAATAAAATATAGGTTGTGATACAATTTCGGTTTCACGTGGTAAATAATAGTGACTTGAATGGGTAAAAACAAGAACACATTTTTTGAATAAACCACCCAATTCATTTGACCTAATTCAACTGACTCACATAGCGCTAGACGATGGGGATTAACACATCAAATTGCAATCTATTATATACTTCCTGCATATACTTGTTAAACGATGTGATTAAGGAAACTAAAAACATACAAATGTCTAACAAATATAAATATAATCTAACTGTAATGAATAAGAACACGAGTGGGGACAATCGAATGTATTTGAACACAAAATTACAGATCTTAGTAGAATCTGAGAACCATACAATGAATACTTGCAAAATGTCAAACAATCGTCTCAGACTTCTCTGTTCCTGCATTTCTGTACCAATCACTTTCTGTTCCCGTTCTTCCCTTCTTGATTCTCTTAATCTTCTGCTGCCAGACATAATATTCTGACTCACGTCACATACTACTTATGCCTATATAAGTAGCACACACCACATAACCAATAAATGTCTGTCAGCCCATCATATATCATGTTACTTATCTGTTAATCTAAAGTTCATTTATTTTGATAAACGGGTCTTTTCAATCGTTTTACCCCTTTACTAACAGAACAGTGTTGGAAGTCGTTGCTTGTTTTGCTCAGCAAAAAACACAATTTTTCCTCAAGTAGTCTTTTAAAAAAGTAATAATTTGTTTAACAAAAATATTCCCATTTATCAAATAGCATTAATAATAAATATATATGATTAAAAATCTTCAAATGTACAATATAGTAGAATAGTTAGAAGTTAACACTTCCTAATGTTAACAAAACTAAAACGATAGCAACTATCTGGTATACTTCTTACCAATAACTGATAACAGTTCAGCTAGTGCTTCCAGGTTTTCCGTGGTGGTCTAGCTTCAATTGACTCATGATTTCACCTGCTCACTAGTGACTGACTTCAGGAGATACTTCGGGAGTTCTAGTGAGAAGTCGTTACCAGTGGGGTTGAACCAGGTCTGTTGTGAGATAGGAACTCACTGAAGACAATGGTGTACGTTGGCGCAACTTCGTGGATTGGTTGAGGTTAGACATTAACACCGTTAGACACCAGCCGGCTCAGTGGTCTAATGGTTAAGTGCTCGCGCGCGAAGCCAGTAGGTCCTGGGTTCGAATCCCGCGAGGTGCGGAGTCGTGGGTGCGCACTGCTGAGGAGTCCCATACCAGGACGAAACGGCCGTCCAGTGCTTCCAGGCCTTTCATGGTGGTCTAGCTTCAATTGACTCATGATCTCAACTTGTGAAACATCTAGATATTTATTTGATATTTGCATTGACCTTTAATAGGTTCATAGATTGAAAAACTGTCAAAGAACTCGTAGTTTTCAGTTCATCATTAACGTAGTTATCTTTTGTATTAAACTTCGGAAAACTATTTTCTCTACACTGTTTCTCTTGAATTTATTATTTTTAAAAAATGTTATTTGTTTACTTAACAGTTTTTTCTGCCCTCCACCTTGTGTATATCTTCGTGGTGAAGGGTGGGGATTACAGTACGGTCAAACATCACATGATGAATCAAAATTGAGCTCTAGTCATGAACATGTTGATCAAACGGATTTAGTGAGTTATTCCACAAATAATGTTCGAACATATCCTATACAAAATAATAATATATCGTATTCAACAGCTACCCCTACTCCAGGACCTTCACATTTATCGTCTTCATTTACAGGAGAACAATCTCAAGTAAGTAATGAATCTTATTTCTTATTAAAATAAATAAAGAGACTAAAAATTTGAGTATGCTCATCTTGACTTCGCTTTCATGTATGTATAGAACATTAGAATGATTAATTCTATAATTTGATTAGAATTCCAATAGTTAGTGACAGTTTTATTAAGTAGTTAATTGTTTAACTTTAAAAAACGATAAATCATATACCTAAAGAAATCATGTTATTACAATTGAGAATTTTGACCTAAAGTTATTCCCGTAAAATATTATTGTTGCCTTACATTAAAATCTCATTAACAATTAAAAGGGATTTTGTTTAGGATGCTGTGAAAAAATCTGAAAAATTTGAATGTGATATGGTGGAGAAGATTTGTAGTTCAGGTGGATGATTTGGATGGAGTTTTGTTCTCTGAGCTGGATGGTTTGGTCGTAGAACAACTTACTTACTTACTTACGCCTGTTACTCCTAATGGAGCATAGGCCGCAGACCAGTATTCTCCAACCCACTCTGTCCTGGGCCTGGTCGTAGAACGAAACTCCAGCAAAATTTGAATGTCTTTGATCATTGACATTTGGTTATTAGATTTATGCTTTAGGTAAATGAATTAAGTAGTGATGTATGTGGAAGAGACATCTAACAATGTGGTTTGAAAATATATTTAGTATCTAGAATGTAGAATTTTGATGCAGTATATTTAATAGTAGTAGGAGATGAAGAAATTTCACAATATTGCAACCAAAACGGTGGATGATCACATTCTGTCTAACTAGTAATATAGCTTAAGAGCAGCTGTATATTCGATGGTGTTGTTAAGATATCCAGTAAAGAGAGATATAGAAGAAAAGAGTTTACTTTCCATCTTATTCTAACACAGCTAAAAGAATTTATATAAGCTTAAGTGTTGATTAGTATTAACTACCAGACATTTCAGTCCGAAAAGTCAAAAATATCCAAGTAGGTAGTTCAAATATGAGTCCTTTAATAGTATAGGATGTTCTGCTTGTAGTTGGATGATATTATTAGTCTAGAAACTGCCAACCAACCATACATAACGATCAACAGTGTGCCTGATAAACTTTACAAATTTTATTTTAAATGAAGGTATGTGAAAGATTTTAAAAAGTTTAAGATTAATTAAAAGTGATGAAAACAATAGAGAAGTATACGATACAAGACTGCTTGTGATTTACACAGAACTCATCAAATATAGAAAAGATTAAGTGTTCATTTGAAAAAAAAATGACTACGCTATTATAAGAAATACGTGACCTATTGTGAAATATTTTAGGTATATTTGGTATGTGACCAGCAATGGAATCTGGAAAGTTCGTTTCGTCCGATTAGGTACTCAGCTGGATACACTTACATCTCAATGTATGTGCTCACACTAAAACTAGACCCAAGTACCTTTCACTTCAAACTCAGTCCTGAATATAAACAACGAAAACTTACAAACTCATGTGAAAAAAACTTCAAATCAAATCCTTGTATTCTATTTTAACAATCAGGAATACACTGACTGTTGTGGAGTATAGCATAAACATAAGAACTGTGTGGGAACTATATTTATTTATAGTTTGGTAAAAGCTATTAGTAAAGCCAATAAAATGTTCAAAGCTCATTAGAAGTAAAATGAATAAATTATTCAGTTGAAAAATAATTTTCTATCCTTAATCCCATCATTAAGTATTGTAGCTTCAAGATATTCTCTACCTAACTGTTTCCCTTTTCCAATCGATTAATCCAGATGATAACACGTGATTTTTTTACATTTATTAAACTGTACATTTAACATTTAGTATAACATCATAGTTACTTTGAGAGATAAATTTTGTTAAGCAAACAAAGGGAAATGATAAGCGCTGCTATATCCATACAACTGAAATTAACAAAAGAAAGAGATAAACATCTAACTAATAAATCATTGTATTACTTCAAGAGAATATAAAATGGGAAAAAACATTACTATTGTAGTTATGATTAAAGTGTTTTGAAACTCATTAAAATGTAAGCAAAGGAGGTAATGACAACAGAACGAGATATAAGATATATACTATTTGATAAAGAATATTAAAAAAAATTCATCAAAGTGTAAAAGCTCTAGAAGAGCGAGTATTACTGATGAACATAGTCAGCTTGGACAGTTCATGTAGATCATTATCAATATGATTCAATGAAATTTATTAATATTTTATTTATTTAGTCTTCTAACTACTTAATTTCAATATTCACAATATCATTTTATTACAAAAATAATAATAGTAATAATGACATCATTTTGAGTTGTTATTTTCTCTTTTCTATAGATACTTGCTTTTATGGGTATTGGTGGATCAACTACTCCAGTTGAAATGATTCAATTAAATTTAGATGATGGAAGAGATTATTCAAATGCTAAAACATTATTTATTTCAGATTCAGATAAACGAAAATATTTTATGTTAACATTAAAAATGTTTTATAAAAATGGTAAAGATTTGGGTCAATTTCATTCAAGACGTATTAAAGTTATTTCAAAACCAAGTAAAAAGAAACAATCATTAAAAAATACGGATTGTAAGTAATCATTTTCTTTATACTTCATTGTTCATAGTAGTGATTGAATAGTTGTTCAATGATTAAATTTCATTTAATATTTATTAAATATTTAGTTTGAGGGGTGTTTGTGAAGATTGATTTAATTTTTAAATTGTTTTGATTACAGAATAATCTCAACAAAACCCCTTCAACTAAATTACAATAATTAGATCACTAGTAACTTACTTAAAGATGTTCCTGAAGTCCTTGTAAGAATTCGTGATTGGTGGAGCTCAGATATGTCGAAAGTGAAATAATTGGATATAGGTCAAGCTATATCACAGATGTATCAAAGGTGGAATAGTACAATTGAATCCCGAATAAGCGATTCTAGCGGTTAGCGCTTGCCATGTGACCTTGAGAATTTAATTTCGATCCCTGGCAAGGCTGTGTATGCACGTTTCTGACAAGTCTCATACTAGGGCTAAACAACTGTCCAGTGCTACCTACTTTTCAATGGTACCCTAACTGAGAACATCCTGTGGCAAATACAACTTACAAACTGGTTAAATGTGTTCGATTTGTAATTATTTTTAAAGAATTTATAATATGGAAAGAACTGATTATTTTATGTACATATTGAAATCTTATATAATTTCTGGCATTTGTCCCATACCTCAATAGTTATATCTGTGATTGAAATACTAGATTAAATGCGTTTTAATGTTATCCGTAGAATAAGTTTCATATTCATAAATGAATGCTGTATTGACTAAGCATTGCTGATACTCATCAAAAATTTTTGCACATATATAAACCTCTAATATATTCCAAAGCTCACTAGTGAGTTTTTATTCATTCCGTTGGGTCACTTACTTAATCTTTCAGAGGTTAATTTCATGTTTTAGCTGGACAATATATAGAAGCTTGACCACTGCCCTTGGATATCATTAATCGTACATATAATTGTTAATGTTTATAATTTGCCATGTAGGGAGGATTTTTTTTCTGAAATTAATTCCTAGCACAATTAAAACAAGTATTTTTCGTAAAAGAAATAATAGTACTTATCATTTTAAAAATATTCATTATTTTCTTAGAAAGATTGTTTTCATAATGTACTGATATCCCAAATGATGCCAGAAAGTGTTTAATTAATAGGCTGTTTCATACTAATTTAAAACTCCTGTAAAGCTAATATTTACAACTCCCCATATGACTAAATTTAAGACTACTAGGTTTACCAGTAATCTAGCGAAGTGAATTCATTGGTCTAGGTTTTATAATTTTGGCAAGACCTGTCACAGTACGAGTAGTATTTAACTTCACCATCTGTTTTAATACTGAATGTATTTCTATCCAAATCGGTTATTGGATTATGGACAACATTTTTCTTTTTATATCTATCGGTAACTAAATTTTTTCAATCAAGCTATAGGTAATAATCACTATTAGGCATATATAAGGAATTATTTTGGTGGCATACTGTATTTGACGATACTTGTAAAGAGTTTGCTACAGTGTGTTAATTGATTCATTGATTAATATTAATAATATTTTAAAAATATTTTACTTTCAATGTTATAGTATGTATTGCATCTGGTACAAAAATAGCCTTATTCAATAGATTACGTTCACAAACCGTTAGTACACGGTATTTACATGTTGAAGATGCTAGTTTCCACGCAAGTTCAAGTCGTTGGGGCTCATTTACAATCAATCTATTAGCTGATGATCAAGATGAAGCTGAACAGTTCACTGTACAAGACGGTTATATACATTACGGTCATACAGTGAAATTAGTTTGTTCAGAAACTGGTATGGCACTTCCTCGTTTGGTAAGTTATATATATATATATATATATATATATATATATATTTAAAGTTTTCCGTATTAGCCTACGGTCATTTCTAATTACGAACTGTTGGGGTTTTCATACGAATGGGATCTAGTGCGAACACGAGAGACTAGGTGATTGACTATTATATCCAAAACGATGGAAGGCAGGAAGAAGTCAATAACTCATGAAAATCTTGATTTTTAGTAAAGACAATTTCAAAGTCAAACAACTGAGTGTCTTGATATTGTTTTACTTGAATCTTCCCATTGATGTTTTAGAACTGAAATTGGTCAGTCTCCTATTGGCATATGTGCATAGTGTGCGTATGCCTCGATATTGCCTTAATTTACAAGCATTATAAGCAAAGATGGTAGTGAGTTCGAGTCCCATAGTGGACATCAACTCTGAGATGAAGGTACATCCAGCTGACGAGTCCCAAACAGGACGAAACGCGCGTCCTGGATTCCACTGCTAGCCACTATCCATCTTTTCTTATATTGCCTGTAAATTAAGGCAATATCGAGGCATATGCCCAGTATGCACATATGCCAATAAGAGACTGATCAATTTCTGTCCTAAAACATCAATGGGAAGATTCAAGTAAAACAATATCAAGTGAATTAAACTTCACCCGATTGCACAAGCAAGTGGCTATCAGGACTCAGTAGCTAATTGGATAACGCGATGGCGTTTGAAGCGAACGGTACTGAGTTCGAGTCCCAGAGTGGACATCAACTCTGAGATGCAGGTACATCCAGCCGACGAGTCCCAAACAGGACGAAACGCGCGTCCTGGATTCCACTGCTAGCCACTATCTATCTTTGCTTATAACTGAGTGTCTGTTGTAACAAGACTTGACTTTTAAACATGGTGAAATTAACGGAGTAAAAGTGACAATAATCAGCTGAGTTACAGTAAAGTTCAGTGAGGAGATATATGAATTTAGAAAAATGGTTATACAAGTTATCCTTACAAAAAATAGCTAATATTTATTGACAAGAACTATGTAACATGAAGTCACCTTAGCAATATATCAATCACATATGAAATGTAGGTTTCTATGCATTTAATGAACATTCCTACTGTACAAACCGTATTCTCTTATTTTTAGTGAAACCACTTGGTAAATATTAAATTCTCTGATTCGATGTAATCATCTTTATATGAAAATAGGATTTAAGTACTATGTTAATTTATTAAATATGATATCCATTGTTTACTGGATACTAATTAATATTTTATACGCAGTTCATTGTATATTATCCAATGAATGGTACTTCTAGTGTGTAACGTGACCAACAGATTTATTAAAAATGAAATATGTTTGCTATGTACGTGACCATTAACCTTTCGCTGTAATTCTGAAAGAATATACTTTGAAAGGTATGTAAAATAATCAATAGTCGGTTATAAAAAATCAAAGAGTTATGCTTATTGACTGCCATCCATTTATTTTTTACCGATTACCAAAATTGTAAACTTGACTGGCTGATTTCAGTTTAGACATATTACTTACCTTTACAAACGTCGGGTGGCTTACATAACATTTCCGAGTCAATGATTACGTTTTAATGTACTGATGAGTCACAGTATTAAACGGAGTCAGTTATGCATCTACTCAAACTATTAGCCTACATGTCCTTGCTTAAGTCAGAAGGACAAATGTACGCATACCTATCATCTGTGCATATTAGAATTTGGTTTTGGCAATTATACCATCCTACTCATTTTAATTTTTTCATTTGCTGATTAAGTTCGATATACCGTAAGAAGTATATATAGTTACTAAATCAAACCACAATACACGACAAAACTATTTTACAATGACCAATTAAGTAAATGTATTCACAACTCAGAGAGAAAGAAATATCAAACTAATATTTATCCCATTAGATTATTTCTTCTCTTACCATATATATAATTTATTTCGTTTTCTTTCAAGATTGTACGAAAAGTAGACAAAACAACTGTTCTATTGGATGCTGACGATCCAGTTAGTCAACTTCATAAATGTGCATTTCATTTAAAAGATACAGATAGAATGTATTTATGTCTTTCACAAGATAAAATTGTCCAATTGCCATCTACACCATGTGATGAAAATCCTTTGCGTGAGAAAATAAATGATGCCGCAGCATGGACTATTATTAGTACAGATAGAGCGGAATATCGTTGGTTTGAACCTAGCCATTTACCAAGTACATACAGAACAAAAGATGGCCAAATTAAATCAATCACACCTCCTACATCATGTCTGACACCAGTTACACCTGTACCAATTGTACGAGATATGCGAGTGAATGGTGGTGGAGATGTTGCAATGCTTGAAATAATTGGTGAAAATTTCAGTCCTAGGCATCAAGTATGGTTTGGTGATGTTCCAGCTCAAACATTTTATCGTTGTGAAGAACTGATATTATGTTTTGTTCCAGATATATCAGAATTTCACAGAGACTGGACATATATTCAAAAAACTTTAGAGGTAAGCTAGATAAACTTAATTTATTTCTTCAATTGTTAACAAAATTGATCAATCACTATAAACTAGTCTACAAATCATTTCGTTGTTATCTCTATACATGCAAACAGTCTGATATATATGTATATAAAGTGTCCTGCCACTAGTATTCTGAAAACATTATTTATATCAGGTCATAGCACCACATTCGAACCGTTGATGAAAAAGAAAGCGGATACATTGCTTAACAATAAAGGTTTAAAAATTGAAGCTATTTGAAGTGACTGTTTTATTTTTCAATTCGCCCATAATAATGATGCATGATATAATTGATTTGAATTGTTTGACAAACTTTAAATGTAATTAGTGAAGATGTCAATATGGTTTAACCGACATTGACGTAGACCTAATGGTTAAATACCATACTTTCTATGATTATCTGACTATGCATTTTCTGATTGTATGGATTTGAAGCAAAAAGTTGTTTAGTCTATCAGATCCTTGATGAAATCCATCTTGAGTAATATTTAACATGGGAACTTAAATCTTCTAACGTTCACTCATTTTCATGACACATTATTGAAGCATGATTTAAATAACATTTAAGACAAATTTAAGTATAGAGCTTAATATTATTAATTCCTGACATGAGTAAATGACTAAATGATATTAAAAGATTATCATTGTAATAATAACGTTGATAAAACTTGCTTTCTCTGTCATTAATTAAATAATGAATAATACTTGGTACGCTAAATAATAGTCATTAAAATTACTAGATAAATCACGCGATATGGATAGTCACACTTTATCCGACCAATAATTGAAAATCGCATTTAAGTCAGATAGTACAAGCGTTCAACATGGTGAAAACCAAATAAGAAGGACTTTACAATACTATATAATCTAATATATTTAACATCGCTGAACATGTCTATCGTCGCCTACTATCATCCGACACATTTTGGAAATCTACATCGAAATTCACCTTCGTTTTTTTATCATTATCAAAATATAGAAATTAGTTTATGAGTTAGAAACAAGCATGTTTTATTTCAAAGTTATTTATAAGTTTGCTTGTTATATTGTTGTGTAAATTCGATTACAAAAGTGATTGCAGTTCAGTTTCATTTCCAATTTTTTTCATGTTGATGAAGAAGAATACAACATCTGTAACTCTATGGTTGTTGACTAGGAATTAATTTAAGAAAAAATATTTCGTCCTAGTTTAACAGACGTATATGGTGTGCGTGTGATCCTTATGCTTTAGCGAATGAAATCTGAATTTCGAAATTACTTTGTTTCCCACTGTACTACTAGTGTGGTGAACGCTGCTCATAAGATTGCTTATAAACAGTATCTAGCAGAACGTCGAGTAGAAGTTGTTGTGGTCGCAGCAGGAGAATGGTTTTAAGAGGTCAAAAAGCACGAGATATGCAGAATACTTTGAAAATCAAGAGAGCGAAAGAAGATATTCTTTTAGCCAGTGGTGTCGCTGCTCAAGGACAAAATGAAGGTGCTCTGACCTCTGCCGTTTGAGGATGAGAATGCTAGGAGTTTCTTGGGGCAGTTCTAGGACATTGCGGAGCTGATAGAAGTACAGGAGCTGGGAACAGAGTTGACGACTCTAGGGATACTGCTGCGGGGCTCGGCGACGGTGGGGTTTGGTTGAATAGGCTCCGTTGACGAGGAGACACGGGATGTCCTGGTTTCCCGACTGCCGACGGAGTTCGAAGACCCAGCTGATTGGCAAGCAGCGTTACAGCAGTTCGAAGCTCTGCGTCACATGCTGCATGGGGACTTTCTGGAACGGTGAGCTGAAAGAACAGTTGCTGGTATCCCAGTTCACCAAGTGTCTCGGGGTTAATAACTTGACGACTACCCTTTCAACTCATCTTGCAGTGCAGGTAATGCACGTCAGAGCATCTTCGTTAAGTCAGACGCAAAAAAAAACAATTATCTTTCAAGTTTGTACAGTGAGCGTCAACAATTATGTTTACCATTGATAGCTGATAACATTTCATTAGTATATCCGAATAATCTATTTCGTTTACATCCACTCTTTAACAAATAGATTTTTACGGTACTGTTCTAACTTTATTTAATCTTAGCTTAATGAAAATAAATAGTAACAAAGCGAAACATTCTACAGATTATATTAAGTAAGATTTCTACAATCTTTTTTGAATGAACAACCGAATTTTATATTATGTATACTATTTTTTTTCTGTACAATTTACTATCTATCTCAGGTGCCAATTAGTTTAGTCCGACAAGATGGTATTATCTATGCGAGTGGCTTAACATTTACTTATCATCCAGAATCTGGACCAAGACAACACTGTCAACCAGCGCTTGAAATTATACGTGCAGCAAGTATAGCCGCTGTTGCGGCGGCGGCAGCAGCTGCGTCTGCTGTCACTTCATCAAATTCTCTGTCAACATCAGAAGAATTATTACTAGAACCTTCATGTTCTTCCAGATCAGGTATCGTAGTATCATCTGCAACAGTTGAATGTAATAATGTTGTACAACGACAAAAATCATCTGAATTCAATTTATCTCAACATCATAAAGATTCAATGTGCCTTGATAATAATTCATTTCTTGCCTCAGTATCAACATCATCATGTCAAATGATAAATAGATTAAATAATTGTAATAATAGTAATAATACTACTAGTGGTTATTATGAAGATGAAGCTTTCAATCAACAACATAACTATCCTCATCTTCATCATCAGGAGCATCAATTACAACAGTCACATCAACAGCATCATTATGCTGTTGACACTCAGGAACATCATCATCGGAGGAATAATAATAATTCAAACTCTTTAACTACAACAGATCGTCTATTTTATATTCCAGTGAATACAAGTTGAATCTCTTATTAAATAAAAGAATTTTTCAGTTGCTTTTTTTTCTTTTGTTTATCAGTTTGTTAAATAGATATCCACGATATTCTTTTCATTTACATACACTAAACTAATAAAAATGATTTAAATTTTAAGTCTTTCTTTATATTCACTTTGTTTTAATTAGTGGTTGAATCCATTAAATAAACAAAATAAGACTGTAGACTAACGTTTATTTACATCTTTATCCGATTTCACTCATTCTTGAATTTATTTATTTTATTTTATAGAACTTTAAAGACGTCAACAAAATTTTAGTATCATAATTGATTTCAGTAACTTTATATGCGCGTATCCATGACTTTTTGCTTATATATATCATCCTTTCTTTCCGCATCCCCATTTTTTGATAGATTGTCTCATTTTTTGTTTATTATAAACAAAATTTGTTGGAAACTAAACAGAATAACTGTTTTACTCTTCCTTTTGTTTTTGGTTTATCTTTTTTCAAGTGATTTCACATGATCCCTTCTTTGTAAGTAATTACATTCAATTTTCTTTTTTTCTATTAGAAATAAAGTTTATGTACAGTTAAGAAAAAAATATTTTTTTTGAGACAAAGCCGCAGGGAATTCATTTTATTTTTGCTTAAAACTAAAGATTTATTAAGCAAAACTTAGAAAAGCTGTGTTTCACATAATTTTTATAGGCTCTATCAACATAATAAAACCATAGAACAGATGGGATGTGGTTAACAGTGGATGAAATGGGCGTCCGAATACGATCTATTGTTTATCATTCTGTGCCATAATGGCTAATATAGAGGAGTCAGCACAGGATGCCCATATGTTAACCATGATTAATCAAATTTCAGTCAAAATTATTAACGACAGGATAATCTAAACGGTTTCAAATTGAAATGATAAAAAGTATTTTACTAGTATAGGGGTTGTGGAGATTATTAGGTTTTTGATTGAGATCATGAACCGATTGATGTTAGACCACCTTTGGAAACCTGGAAGCACTGGACGGCCGTTTCGTCCTATCGTGGGACTCCTCAGCAGTGCGCATCCACGATCCCAATCGCGGGATTCGAACCCAGGGCCTTCGGTCTCGCGCGAGAACGCTCAACCTGCTGGACCACTGAGCCGGCATCCAGGATTGATAGTGTCTAACATCAACCAATCCACGAAATTGCGCGACCATCTTCCATTGTACTGAGGTAGATACCTGTCTCTACCCGACATGGATTATCTCCACTGGTCACGGCTTCTCACTAGAACTCCGAGAATTCCCTCACGAGGCTAGTCACTAGTGAGCACATGTTAATTACTAGTATAGAGGTTGTGGAGGTGTGGATGCGCACTGCTGAGGAGTCCCACAATAGAACGAAACGGCCGTTCAATGCTTCCAGGTTCCCAAAGGTGGTCTAACATCAATCGGTTCATGATCTCAATCAAAAAGTATTTTGTCACATAGTATTTTTTATACTACTAAATATTTACAAACAGCACGACAGTGTTGATTGTAATTATAGTTCACAATAGGCCCTAAGCGACATAAAGCTTAATTAGTAAGTAGTACGACATTCCGGATCGAAACAACTTTTATAATCAGCTGTAAGTAATATTAGGTTGGTAGCTCGTCACTTGAATAAAATTCAAAAACGTCTTAGCTACTATAATTATGTAGTGCTTAGACAAATGCTACAGTTATTGTTAGAACATGGTCTTAAATCCGATGTGATAACTATGGGGAGGTTGGGTTGACGCCGAATTCACGAATTAAGAGCTAACTTAACGTTTTTCAACAAGTGACGCCAATACTGTACAGCATATGTCAAACTAAATAGTATGTTGATATTATACTAAATCAGTCAATCAGTAACAACGTGGGACTTTGTACTTACGTACATCAATGCGAGTTGCCATACCACATTAACACAGAGATGCAGTTATCGATTCAAATCACATATTGGTAGAGGTAGTAAGAGTATAAGCAATAATCTGAAACATTAGGGTTTGAAAATATTATTCAACGAGTATAATCCATGACATGAAGAATTCAGAAGATTAAAATTTGAGAGAACACAAAGAGTGGATGCACCTGCGCCATTGCAAACGATTTCACTAAGTCTATTGTTATTTTTCGTACTACGTAATCTTGGTTGTTCGTGTTTACATTTCCTCACGGAATTAGTACTTTAACAAAGAAATTTTCATATATATACGATTGTACAGCTTGATAATGAATTCGTTGAAAAGAGATCCCTTCGCTCAACTTCGTTTTTTTCCATTTTTGATGGGGATTATTTTCAATAATTTTATGGATGATTTTTTTCAGTTAATCTATTTTATGCCAAAGAAATTTGTAAATAATGCCTTTTTTGTTGTTGACAAAACTGATTGTTAAATATTTAAAACAAAATCACAATAAACTCATTCTATGCACCGTTTATATAATTCAATCGGTAAAATGTAATTGACAATCATTATGTGATTTTTATATTGTATGGTGAATAAGTGACATAATGAGTTTATATTTCTTAACACTGATAACTTTGATGATGATGGTAAAAAAAATTTAGCACAATTTAGTGTTGTCTTTTCTCTCGACTTATTATTTTAACCAATATTCTATCATCAAAACGGGTTTTGTGGAGATTGTAGTAATTTCAATAGTTGAGATAATGAGTCAATTGAAGTTAGACCACCATGGAAAAGTTGAAAGCACTGAACGGCCGTTTCGTCCTATTGTGTTCTAATGAATTTTACAAATACTCGCTGAAGCATTTCAAAATTGTAAACTGATATAACAGTGGATAAATATATTGGACCCTTCCCATTTAACTAGTTAATTCGAATAGAATACTATTTAAAGAAAGAAGTATTAAATTGTTATACTGACCATAAAACGAAAGACTTACCCATAATACTCTACTTACAAATGTTTATATTTTATTGAATAAGACTAATGTTACATTGAAGTTAAGAATTCTAATGATTTGTTCTACACTCAACAAAAATCACCTGATCATACGAAAACGATAAATACATGTACTTATCAAACAAAAATAATAGAATAATGAACTAGGTATGTTTATTCTTGAAAATTAAAGAAAATATATGACAAAAAATATACAGAACAAAAAAGTAAACTTTTAACAATCTTTATGACAGTCTGTAAATAAAATGAAAAGTAAACCTGGCTAGAAGTTTATGTAATGAAGCCACTGGTTAGTTCGTACCCTGTAAAAACCAGTCGAAGTCTCATCAAGTTTTATTCGAATTTATTCATCGTATAATATAATCTAGAAAAATTTTCCTTTTCGATGAAAATATCACAAACTTGGAATAAAAATACATCTTTGGTAAACATAACTGTTCTAATTTTTCGTTTAAATGCTTATTGTCTTGGTTCTTTTAATGCTACATTTTTGTATCTGGTCGTCGCTGATTGTTATTTAGGAAACGCTTATCACTTATACTCGGAACGAGAGACCTCTGCAATTCCCATGACGCGAAAGTTAGAACACAAGACTGGTATAAGTGATGATTTACTAACCCCAAAACACTGACGACGACGACCATTCTAGTAGAAAATACACTCATTTATATATTGATTGCACGCTCATTTTGATTAATAATTAGGATGAAATCATATATATGAAAAATACTTAGAGTTATAACAAATCACAGACTGAGTATAGTTCATGTCAATGGAATACAAGAATATCGCATATTATACAGAATAAAATATCATACGAGAAAAGGAAACAAATACTACATTAAGTAATCACTACATTGAATCAAAACGGAAATAATTTTGAACAAAACTGATAATGAGTAAATCCATCGAAAATTGGCTTTTCTTTCCATCATATCAATAACGAAGGGTAGGTATTATTCAACATAAATTAAACAAATTAGTTATCACAGTGAAAAGACCAATAGGTAAAACAAAAATAATACAAGGGTGTACTTTGGTGAACAGAAAAAATAAACAATAAAACACAAGCAAGAAAAAACAACAACCGAACACTATATTCCTTTAATCAATGAATTGTTCAACAGCAGCTATAATACATTGATGGATGATGCTGAATCCTTGATAACTTCTGTGGTATGAATTAAATGATTTTGATTATTCGACGTAGAACTCACCTGGTGTAACTTCATATGAATGAATAGAACACAAGTACCATGACTCATAACATTTACAACAGTACGTAATCGATCACTAAAACAAAAAAATATGAAGAAAATATTGTTCACAAGTGACAGGAAACAATTTAATGAACAATTAAACAAATGTATCAAAATTACTGCAAAAGATTTATAGAACCAAGAAAAATATCTAAATTAGTTCGACAGACAATTATCAGCAGTCAACAGAAGTTGTTTAAAAGCACGAAGTTCAGCAAAGGGATCTCTTTTCAACGAATTTAACATTGAACTGTACAATAGAATATTGGGAGTTTAGGAAGTAGCGAATGCAGAATTAGAGTAAATTTGAATGTTGTCAATTATATAATCTTTTTATTTTAATTTCTGTTTGAAAAAAGATCCCACTAATATTCACTAACAATGTTAACTTGAATTTTATATCAACAAGGTGGTTGGGTTATATTATAAACCATTTGTCGAAAAGAATTATTTTTTTAAAATTCATCGCTCAATTATTATTTATTATATTATTTTCTTCTTTATATGACTTTGCTATCAACATATAAATACTAGTCATTCTTAACCACAATGTTAAATATTTTGTGTTCTCATCCCGTTTCTGACATTTTCCCAACTTTATTTTGTTGATTAAAGGATACCAGCCTACTTTTTTATAATAAAATAAATAATTGTAAATTTAGATCGTTTGCAGCTGATGAGAAGACTTGAAATATAATAAATTTAGGTTATTCTACTAACCTTGTTTATTTAAATTTATCAAGGGATTAATATGTGTGAAATTGAAACAAACTAAATTAGGAATTTATTGAGGTAATCAGTTAAGAATAAATGATAATTGAAATGCAATATGATTTAGTTGAACTACAATCTTGACTACCTCATTTTGAATACCAATGGGTATTATAGAAATACACTACTTAATTAAACGCTTAACACAACTCTTTACGTAGCACCTTGAATGGTATTATTCGAATACGAAAATAAATAAAAGTTCTACATTTTGAAAAGCATATTAAATAACATGAAGGTAACTAGTTATCCTACCAGAGCAATATAACCATATTATTAATTTAATTATCACAAATATATTTAACACCTATTAATTAATTTTAGGATAAACTAAATTGCCTTTCATTTATTAGAAAACATGTGGTGGTTTATTCATTTAAATGAAAAAAACAAATCACAGTATTTACTTTAGTTTTTTTTAATTAAAAGGTATGTTGTTAAGATATTTAAATAATTGAGAACAAATAGATCCAAATTATGGATCAATCAGCTGTTATTAAATTAACATATCGGAGAATTACAAAAACTGGTGGATTAGAATAAGCCAACACACTTTTTTACTGAATAATTTAGTCGGATGAAGGTATTACACTAAGTAGCAAAAAGTTCAATTTGTATAGAGAAGTGCAGACTTTCAGAGTTTTTGTCTACCGTGTTTTACCCTGAAAAGGTCTAATACAAAAGAGCTAGCATAAAAAGTGCACATAGATAAAGATGAGTATTCAAAGAGAATAAACGAAAAATAGCCGCCATTTCGTTTTAAAATGATTTAATTAGGTATTCAGTACAGCTGCAAGTGACAAAAAACATACGAAAATATCTAAATAAATTACGATTATTATCAGAAGGGGTTTTGTGGAGATTTCAGTGATCGCAATAGTTGAAATCATGAGTCAATTGAAGCTAGACCACCATAGAAAAACCTAGGAAGCACTGGACGGCCGTTTTGTCCTAGTATGGGACTCCTCAGCAGTGTGTATCCACGACCCCACCCCTCGCGAGATTCGAACCCAGGACCTATCAGTATCGCGCGCGAGCGCTTAACCACTAGACCACTGATCTAGCCGACATCCAACGATGTTAATGTCTAACTTCAACTAATCCACGAAATTGCGCCATCGTACACCATTGTGTTCAGTGAGCTGATATCTCACAACAGACCTGGTTGAACTCCACTGGTCACAGCTTCTCACTAGAACTCCAGAAATGCCTTTTGAAGTCAGTCATTAGTGAGCACATGATGAAGGAGTCTCATGCTAGGACGAAACGGCCATCCAGTGCTTCAAGGTTTTTCATGGTGGTCTAGCTTCAATTGAATCATGATTTCAACTATTGAAATTACGATCAACCAACTGTAATCACTGTATGATTGTTTATAAAATAAATTAGTATACATTGGTTCTAAAATAAATTATTTGATTAGAGTCCAAAACTATACATAATATATATATATATATATATATATATATATATATATATTTAAAGGTAATGAACCACATTAAAGGTTACATTATTAATGCCTCATTGGAATAGAAGTGGAATGTGTAAAAAGTAGCAACGGAACTGATTTTTCTAACAGTGAACGGTTACAACATCTGAAAAAAGATTTGGAAATGTACGGTGAAGTGCTGTGATACGTAATGTGAAGTTATAATAAAGCAGCCAACGAAATAAAACCATATCCCAGATAAAATTAAGTAGTTGGTAGAATAAAAGATTGAGCAGCTTTATCAAGAGACCAAATCATAGCTATGATATCTGTCAATTGTTTGTTTTAGGTGAATATGTTAGAGTTCAACAGTTAACGATTATATATGATGATAAATTAGATTGTTAGCAGTGACATATACGCATCCAACTTTTTCCATATAATTCTTCTTTTGTATTTTAAATTCCTCTATTTATTAACTATTTGGTCGCTGATCATTCATCTGTATTTTAATGATACTGTTCCTAATTTGTGCTTTTTTTCAGTATTTTTTTCCGGATGAGGTCAGTTTGTGATGAAAAAATGTATTTAGCACAATGTTATACGATAACCAAATATCCTTTGATATTAAAAAAACTGGTTGTGCTTAAATTAATCATCATTGTTATTCTATACAAATGAGACGATGTCACTTGAGATAAAGTGAGGAAACGGTCAACAATTAATCGTTGATGTCTTAGGATTGTTAGTAGTTTTTACTAAAACCACAAGTTTTAAGAAAGATTAATTAGGGTGCTTGAATCACGTTCTGTATTTTATATATTGAGTGATACTTAAAAGTTCAAGTAATTTGGAAGATGCCGGAAGATCGAACAGAAACAATGACACAACAATGCATTATATCATTAACGCAAACAGGAAAATATAAGGTGCAGCATCAACATGGTAAGATAGACAGAAGTGAAAAAATTATCAATTACATCATGAAGTTCCATTTTTATCCTTGATTAGTCATTTCTAACTTAATTATACCAGTTTGGCTAAATATTGTCATAAATAACATTTTTTGGCTGATAAATTAGTTATTCAGTGGTTATATACTCTGAAATTGATTCGGTCATCATTTAAAAGATTGATCCCGTCAGTGCATTTGTAGTTTGGCCATTTCATACCAGAATCCTTATCAGTTACCTATGTTGTCATAATAGAATTCTATCAATTAGTAAGGATTCGTAGATGAGTAGTAATCAGTCTAAAATTTTAGTGTAGGAAAGGATCTTAGTAATGTAATCGTAAAAGACAATAACACACCATAAATTTGTGTCAGATTATAAATTGAGTTGAACTAATGATATAGTAATTTTAATCATATTGTCTGTGATTGATCATTCAAAAGAATATTTCAATCATAACATTAGTAAATTATTGCAATTATAATCATTATGTAACAGAAACCACTTGACACTTCATTTATATTTACAAGCTATGATGGTGGAGCTGTCGTCAATAAGAGTAAAATTTTTATTTAAAAAAACGCATTGTATAGAATGCAAAAGTCATTGGCATCCTCGTACATTCTTTATTCACTTACTAAAAAGATATTGATCGTAACAATACCAGAGAGTATAATCATACATACATAGTGTTTATTTCTATTTGTCTAACTGTTAGATTTTATTTTGTAAGCAATCAATATAAAGTTTGTGGATGATAATATTTCTCGCAAAAAAAGAAGAAATACACAAGTCCTTTTACGTGTATGTAATTATAGCAATCAAGACAAACAGAAAATATAAGATAGTGATAGAATTTAAAAAGTGAAAAAGAGAGATCTTAGATTTTGTCCAGTAAACTTACTTTTAATGAATTGGACAAATTATTTTAAGTTGACCGTTTACACTAATTTAAGAGTTTTAGTTCAAGATGATGTATATTTCTGCATACTCATTCCTTTGTGTACTTAATTTCAAAGCCACACTTTAAGCACGAGTGCTGGTGATATTAACCGATTGATCAAACTGAAGCAGGTAAAGTGGGGTTTAAATAAGCACCTCATTGGCTGAATGCCGAACACCTTGATCATTGAGCCACAGCTCCACGTATTTTCATAAGCATTTCTTTGTTCAGGAATGACAGCAATACCCGAAGTAAAGTTTCTTTCCCCAATTTTTGATGGAGATTATGTCTAGTTTTTTGTTTACAAAAAGTTGATTTTAATAGTTCTGATTAATATGAAATGGTTATTACGCATTAATTTGAAATAAAGATATGCTTTATAGATCATTTGTCATATATATCTGGAACACTACAACATCAATTAACTAAGAGTTATAACTTCTAAAATTGAGAACCTTAACCACTACATTGAAGACAGCGGTGGTAGTATGTAGCAAATAAAACTGAAATTGAACACAAATACATAAACACACATAATTCCAATACTTACACAATAAACTCAGTAACAAAAAGTAATGATACGGAGGTAGATTCAGAAATGTCAAATGCGCGTGTTATTAAAATAACAGTTATAATACTTGCACTTGGAATTGCAGGCAGTGCCATCACGTTGACACCAGATAAAAATCTAGATTCAGAGGAGGGCGAAACAAAATACAATTAAATATGACAAATATAAACCAGAACGACAAGACAAATTTCAATAAAATAGAGAGATGATTATGAATATCATATATTAAGTGTGACATTGTTTATTTGAGACATACTGACCTCTTAATATTTGTCATTAAATAATATACTGAAGGAGTACATATATCTTGTGAAGGTTCATTTTTACTCGAACACTATTTGGTCAAGTTAGAGCTTATGTCAAACTGTCATCGGAATTGTCAATCTCAAGTGATGTTTATCATAGTTTCTCACATTTTTATCCAACTTTGTCATAAGAAGAGTTTCACAGATAAAGATTATTTTTCTCTTACAGTTTTAGGGAGTGGTCTGCCAGGAAGTTCACTTATGGATTTAGAAGATAAAGATGACAGTTTAGTTGATTGAAAACTGACAAATTCTGTCTTTTAATTGCACTGAGCAACAATCCAAGAGTGTTTACTATGCGTTTTTCTCATAACTGTAAAAAATTTGTTAGTGTCAACCCCTAAACTAATGGTTGCGAGTAAAATTGTTGGACGCATCCACCACTTCACTTATTTTGGAAGCTTTACTAGTCCTAGTGGTTTGATTGTCTGAAGAAATCTCGAAAATTCAAATCCATTCACTCACTAACTTCCCTTATATCAAAATCGTTTTATACATTTTATTACTTCACCTCATTCTTTCTTCTCTATGCCGTCTTTTTTTATCATCACTGGTGCTACTGCTACTATTACTACTAATTCTATAGTTTTGGAATACGTTTTGATGGTTTTATTATGCTATGCTGATGTGATGTGCCAACTGGGCCTACATATAGTACGTTCATCGTTTATGGCTGACTGATTGCTTTGTTGTGACTAGATAGTTGAGACATAAACTCGCTAAAATTCTTAGGTGAGTTCAAGTGAATAGCAGAAATTGGATCTTGTAAATAAGAAAGCAATTAAGTAGGGCGAGAAAAGCACCACTCAGTTGTAAATAATTGTATTGTGATGGCGAAAATACTGAACAAAATTACTAAAGCTCATCTGACAAATATAATGGTAGCCAACTAATAATTGCATACAAGCCCAATAAGTGAATATCAAAAAACAGAACAGATGGTCAGAAAACCTTTTTATTTCGCTTGGATGGAAAATTGCGTATACAAAAGTAGGTATTTCGATAATTTAAGTACAAGGGATTCAAGGACAAATAGTTGCGCCCTCAATATCAGACTTATGCCATTTGTCATACGCAATTAATTTATTATGAAAATATTTTATATTATATTAGTGAAAGTAATTGAGGAGAGATAAAGCTTAATGTCTTGCATCACATTTTTATACGATAGAGTTTGAAGTTATCGAAAAAATTCCAGTGAATGTTATCAAGATATGAAATAATACAGTATACTGAAGTCTTGGTTAACACGGGGAAGTGGTGTACTTTTCCAAAACAATGAAGAAATAAATGACCTAAGAAACAAATTATTTAGCTGTGCGATGACTTTTTAATTTTTCGTTTAGAAAATTATGCTCAATATATAGTGGTAAAAAATAACCAGTTTTAGTTGAATGAACTTAGTTGTTTGGTAGTATGCTGAATCTACGCACTGCTACATATATTGAGTTGTTTAATTTCAACTCTAAAGCCCAGGCATGATCGAATTAGATAAACAGAAATAGTGAGCTGTGACAGTTCATGTAAAAAGAGAAAAAAGGGAAGTCATGATAACAATTAGCAAAGTTGCTAAATTTCAGAAAATCAACAATTTGTTTAGAGTTTCAGTACTCTTCCAAAGAAACGAATTCGTCATCGTCCTGCTAGATAAAGTTGGAAAATTGGAAGGTATATGAACAATTTAGATGAAAAACTGAGGATATTTGACATAAATTTCACACTACTAGATAACTCATTATACTGCAAAGCAGGTTTCTACCTACGTCTAGAAAAAACTAGGAAGATGATGTGTTTGACTTTATCAAATAGTAAAGGAGCTATGTTGAGCTAAGTATCAGGTGAATCTCGGTAATTATGGTAAAATATCAATTGACACTTTATAACTTACATTAGTTGTGTTATTTCCAAGATATTTATTTGAATATGAAGATGGAGTATGAAACATGATGGTGAACCGTGAAAGATGGTCATTAGAGTTTTGTGCCATCGAAAGGGTACAAATACTTTCGTGTCACAGTTAGTATACACAGTAAGTAAATGGGGTTTGAGTAGGGAGACTAAATTTGTTGTAGGTGTGTATTAACTGGTAAAACTGAAACATGTATTGAGTCAATAGAGTTGATATATATCTCGACCCTTTCCATATTGCCTACAGAGAGAGAGAGATCGGGATAGTGGAAGAAGCCACGATACAGCTAAGCTATGAAACTAATTCTACGATATACAAATACAAGTTTCACAACTTGAGCTTACGGATTATAGAAACCTCTTTCATCCATCCACTGTTTCCTGATGTACATTTTTTCTAGTTTTTATCCTTTATTTAGTACTTTTTTTTGTGTTGTAACATCGAAAGAATGTGTTACTTCATTTAATTTAACAGTGATTCAATCATTCAGTTAGTAGGTAATTAATAATTGATGTGCATTGATATTACCGAAACGTAATTGACAGTGTAGAGATTTGAAATGACCATAATTATTTTAAAATCAAAACATTTATTACTACATATTTTATATATGCAATCTTGGACTAAAAAAACGAAGAAACATGAGACATAAAGTCGAGAGCTGCTTCTCAATCTTTATACTGAAGTTACATTCAAGGAATTTTGGAAATACAACAAACGAAATAAGTCATTGTTTTATTAAAATGTAACTTTAACGATGACCGTTTGTGTGCAGCTATCATATTTATGTATGTGTTTGTTCGTTTGTTTTTTATAATGAAAGTAATTTTAACAACAATAAAAGAAAAAATATTTAAACTTACCCAATTGCAATAAACTGACCAGCATTTAAACGTTGTTTAGTTAATTGGGCAACAAAACAAACAGCAGATGCAATAAATGCAGCAGATCCATTTGCATTGAAGCTTGTGAGAAATGGTGCTACAGTTCGTACTAAATCTGACTCAATTCCATAAAGATCACAAACTTGAAAAAGTTGTGGAAGAGCAATTAAACTGGAAGATATTTTTTAACGGAAAAAAGCATTATTTAAATTTATTAGAAGCGGTTACATTGATGTGTTGTTCTGTAATGCATTGGAAACTGTAGGCTATCGACTTCTAGGTTCGATTATCAGATTGTTTTAATTTAATATTTGTGTTAATTCTGATTATTATCGATCAATTTCATTATTAAATTTAAGTGCATTCTATAAACCCACTGAATTGTTGGCTCATTTTTTCATTTATTTTATTCTCCTACAGGTTCTATCACATACTGCTTCTCACAATCCCCCAGCACAAAAGGTACCTTCAGGCTAAATGCAAACCTGACAAAGACCGAACGCTAAAGCACGATCTGGCAAGTTGAGTGTAGAGGATATATTCAGATGTTGATAAATTTAATTATTAAGTTTTTGATCGAGATCATGAACTGATTGGTGTTAGACCACAGTTGGAAACTTGGAAGCACTAGACAGTCGTTTCGTTCTATTTTGGGACTTCTCAGCAGTGCGCACCCACGATCCCGCCAGCGGGATTCGAACTCAGGGCCTTCAGTCTCGCGCGCGAACACTTAACCTACTGGAACACTAAGCCGGCCGTCCAGTGCTTCCAGGTTTCCAACGGTGGTCTAACACCAATCGGTTCATGATCTCAATCAAAAACTTAATAATCTCCAAAACCCCTATACTGGAAATTTAATCATGTCATTTAAATGAATGTTTAAGTAGACTTAGGTAGAAACTATTTAAGATGTCCGTACTCACTCATACCTGTCTCTTTGTCATTATGACGACGTTTCGTAACACGGTACTTCTATCGCTTAAATATACTGGGAGACTATTAGTTGGCAACTGAAGACAAAAATACTTCATGTATGCCATTTTATGAAGCTGTGCATTAATGTCTATTCTAATGACCAGAAGCAAGGTGTCTGAGTGAACCTGTCCATTCATTTTACTGAGGAATAATAACAGTATGATAGATTAGTAACTGGTGAAATACAAGTAAAAAGTACTCATTCTACATTCGCCACAGTACGTTACTTATACTCCTAATCGAATACATCAGGCACTTGAATAACAATATGTTCCGCTTTAGTATGCAATTAAAAGACAATGTGGTTTGGGATTTTAAACACAGATAAAAATCAGCCATATGAAAAACCCAGTGAATGAACGATGTAGTTAAGCCTGGAATGATAGGATAGATAAATAAAAAGTATAGTATATAGTATGAGTGTTTAAGGGCTAGTAGTCACGATTTCCATAAATGGAGTAAGAGTAGATCGATAAAAAAGAAATCAAAGGACTGAAAAAAAACTATACTAACAGTAGTGAGAAAGTAAAGGAAAAGACGGGAAATGGAACTTATGGAGTTGGATAATGAAAGACCAAGTTTGTGTATTTTATCGACTTCGGCAAATGAGACATACTTTACTTTCGAAAGCGCTGAAACAGCTAGGGTAAAGAGTTGGATGGGAGATTTAGTGTATTTTTATCAAACTATTGTACTAGCTCAAAGGTTTAACAGCTGATTTATTGAGTATAATTGTCAGATATCAAATCAGTTTCCAAGAAACAAATAAAATTCATGGTTGCAAAGTGAATGATATGTTTTAAAATCAATCACAGTGGGATTATTGTATAACTCCCTTGATCTTGCAAGCAACAAATTTTAAAAAAATTGGTAGTTATTCAGTTGAACATGTATTTATAGCTCGTTTTAGAGGTCTTCTTCGCTTAATTTCTGTTGCTGGGATGATTTAACAAAAGTGAGAGAGCGAAATTGGAATTCCAAGAATTTAACTAGGTTGGTGTGTATGCACACATCCTGTCTAGGAGAGGTAGAAAACGTTAAGATCACTCCGGAGGATTATAAACGAACAGGTCGAGTATAAATCCATGTTGATTACCTGGTATTATAGGAATCCGTCTCATATATGACGTGACTTAAAACATTCTTAATGTTTAGCTTTTCAGGTGAAATCTTAAGAATATACCATAATCTAGTCTTATAATGAATGTTCCATGTTAGTGATTGAAAATTACACATGTTAAGTTTATATACAAGCCTCTATGCAACCATACAAGATATTCCACCAGACGAATCAATAAGATGTGAAGTTAATACCTAGTAAATAGTTGAGTTTCATAGAGTAACTAGTCAAGAATCTGAAGAGACTGCTTGTAACTTTAACTCCTTTGTCCTATAAAAATATAATAAATTCCAATAGATCTAAAGAAAATAACTGATCAGAATAAAAAGTTAAACAACAAACTTACGAACTGGTCGAACTGAAAGCAGTCAATATAGGCTCAGACAAATAGTAATAGAAGCGAAATAAATTTCGTCTTACTGCTATGAAGAAAAATACTGGCATGATCACAAGTACAATGATTGAAAGAAATGTAATTGACGATGCAACGAACAGAATTAAAGCGATAAAATTATCTTCGATTCTTTCCATTCGTGCAATTGCATATGCGATTAAACTAATCATGGCGATTGGGAGCAATCTAAATAAAGTGTTAAGTAACAGTTTTAACTTCAAAAAGATATTAAAAATTCTTAAAGAAAACAAATCTTAATTAACAATTGAATACATCAATTGGGATTCAGTAGAATTTCTTGCACTTGATTTCGGATTTAAACAGATTTTGTGAAGCATCTAGCGGTACTACTTGACTCCTTGAACAGGAGGACTGGCTTGCAACTATATAATTCAGTGGTTACAAATAGTGTTTCAAATGTTTAGTCATTGCTCCATCAAATGATTAGCAATGTACTTTTGTTAACTAAGTAGAATAATACTAATCCTAAACATTATATTCCAGTGGAGCTTTGACCAATTGACTGTGTACATATTTAGATTTTTATGTACTACACTTAGTATTATTTTCATTAAATGACATTTAAATTGAAGATGTGTTAAAGATAAGCTATTGTTGTATGTAAGATCAATGTATATCAACAAGCTAATTCACGCTAATGGGAATTGTTACCATGACATGCAGAATACATTTTTTCGAATTGATTTTCGAGAGCTATCTAGCCTGAATCCTGAGAGGAAAACATGAATTAGCTGACAACTTAACAATGGATAATTACTTACATATTGTTGCTAATATAAAAAACTACATGGATAGTTTACGGACAGGTTATATATGGGCAGTTTCATGAGATTTGGAAAAAAATTGACGACAGTAAATTCAGTATTCTGTTTGCGAATCATTTTACAAATGATTTCAAATTTCGACTAAAACTATGAATTTCTTCAGTAAAAACTGAAAAATGTTTTGTTAAAAAGTCAAATATATGGGATCAAGAGTAAAATTCTCACTTGATAATAAACTCAATAATAATAGTCATTACTTCGGAAATACACTCAAATAATGCAATTAGTGGACGCAATTTTTCTCTTCGAGACCCAGCAACTAAACCAATAACAAGGCTAGTAGTAAACAATCCTATAAAGAAAAAAATTTGAATAAAAACAGAAAGACTTTATAGCTTTACTAATAGCAACAAGAAAAAAATAAAAGAGTAGATACAGTCAAGTAACCAATGTATTGTAAATGCATGAATTATGTGAGGTTGTTCAACATTGTTATTCACTTGAAACAATGCCTTAATGAGTAAGGGATTTTCTGTTTTACTACGTTTCTATAACGTTTTATTGAGTTTGATTCGAGTGTTGTGGATGGACACTCACGTGGGGACAACCAAGTTTTAATTAATACAAAATTACAGAATATCTTATTAAAATATGAGAATCATACACTGAATATTTTATTGGAGATTTCCGTCATTTGTCCTTCACATTCTGTATACTTCTTCCAGTTCACAATTCCTTTCTGTTTCTATTTCTATTATCTTTAGCTCGATCTTCTTAGACTTCTGATGCCAGGTTTCCCACTTCCGACTCGTGTAACATACTACTAACGTCGACAGACATAAGCAGCATACACCACACTAGTACTTAAATGGTATGCGTAATTCATGAGTGGCTCTTCTTTGGTCGCATTCCAGTCAGTCAGTCAGCTACAACGTAGGACCAGGTATATATATGCATTGGTTCAAGTTACCACAACTCATTAGCACAACAAGGTGAACACCAAATTTATAGAAGTACTTATTCGAATTGTAGTAATATATATAAGAAAAATTGCATATGATACAGGAAGAAAGAATTGGTTCGTAGAAATAAAGGTATAAAGTAGTCCTAATCTTACTGTTTAAGGAAAGACAAAGAGTGTATACACCTATGCCACTGTGACTGATTATGAGCTATGTCACCCAGAGTCTCCAACCACTCGTTACGACAGTCGTGCGGACCCCAACCAAGTAGTCTACATCTACCGATATGGATCAGACCAGAAGTTAGTGACTTCAAGGACTGGTGCCATCCCCAACACTAATCAGCATTGCGCGTCGTGTTAATCGGTGTTCAGGTATACGTAACACGTATCCTAACCATCTCAGTCGATGAAGATTCACAACTTCATCAACTGATTTACCGTCATTCCCTAATACACTGCGTCTAATCTCACTATTGCATACCCGGTGATCCCAACAGATGTGAGCAATATTTCTAAGGCATTTGTGGTCAAATACTAGTAGCTTACGAGTATCTTTTGCAATTAATGGCCACGTTTCTCAGCCGTAAAGTAGAACAGAACGAACTGCTGCGCAGTATATTCGTCCCTCAATTGGTAGACGGATATCTCGCCTTCTCCATAGGTGACGTAAGTTGGCAAAAGCCAAACGAGCTTTCCGAATCTGCGCAGAGGTTTCGTTAGAAACCAACCCACTAAGGCTGATCAGACTTCCAAGATAAGTGAAGTTGTCAACGCGTTCGACTACTTCACTCCCTATTCTTAGTTCAGGTGTTAACGCAGACCAGTCCTGAAGCAACAACTTGCATTTAGAGGGAGAGAAGCACATTCCAAACATTCTGGCATTGTTACTTAGTGCTACCAGAAGACTGTATCTTATCAGCGTCTTCACCAAACAGGACTATGTCTTGTGCGTATTCTAAGGCGATAAGTGGACCTCCTGGAAGGAGATCAATACCCGAGAATGTTATTTCCATCAGTAGGTCTATGATGAAGTTAAACAAAAATGGGGAAAGTGGACAGCCTTGACAGACACCGCCTGAGGTTGCAAAATCAGATGACAGTTCGTCATAAGCTCTGACTCAACTAGTAGTGTTTGAGTAAAGGGCCTTTGCAAGGTTTACAATGACAGACACTACCACAGAATCTCGCGGTCTACGGAGTCAAATGCTGCTTTTAAGTCAAGAAAAACTATCATTGTCAAGTGCCGATAAGCATGCCCGCGTTCTAAGATCTGATGAATGGTGAATATGTAGTCGATACAGCCACGACCAAGTCCGAACCCAGCAGTAGAATCCAGGACGCACCTTTTGTTCCACTTGGTACTCGCCTGATGGATATACCAACAACCAATACAAAAATGAATAAAAAACAAAGATGATGTGGGATATATACGAATAAGATGAGTCTACAACGATAAATTCATTAAAAGGTTCAGGGAAATTTTAAGTATAGAACAAAAACAAAGTCTCATAATTGGTATAATTCGTTCACCGAAACAAGATCATTCGTATATAAACACCTTCAAGTAAAAACACGCTAAAGAAATTTACTAAAAAAACTAAATCAGAAATAATAATCAGTGTTAAGTACTTTTTTAAACGTTGTTCATCCAAGTAGTGAAAGATCGACAAAATACTAGCATCTTAATAAAGACAAACAGAAAAAATATATCTCACCTAGGATATTTGTTTGTGCCGCATGCTCAATTACCCGTTTGTATGTTATAGTTGAAGATGAATTACCATTTGAGTTAGGAAGAGATTCAACTGGCTCGTATGTTGTAACTATCTTTAACATAAATGAAAGCAAAGAATGATAATAACAGTCAAATAAAACTGACTGAATGATAAAAGGTAGATTTTAAAAACAATTTATTTAGTATCCAAATAATATAATACAGCAGATTTTAAGTAACACATGTTTTGTTAGGGGTGAGGATATTACTTGCATGACAATAAAAGAACGTGGATATAGATTTAAATCTATAATCTAGTGGTTGAAATTCTAATCCTAATTGCTTGAATCACAACCAAAATATTGTAAAAATAACAGTTACAACTTCTCAAAGTAAATTTATCTAATCGACAGAAATTATAAACAAAGGTTTGTAGAAGGACCTTTAATGTAATTATGTCTATCTGAACTAGTCAATCGAGAAACCTAACGGATTCAAAGATAAAGGGAAAATTGAGAAACTAGACCAAAATATTAACGAGATTTTAATTTAAATTGTAAAATTGTGGAACATGAATAGAATTTATTGTAAAGAATATTCTTCGTACATATACTAGTATTTTAATTTCGCCTTCACTACTCAATGTGAAACTCGACTGGTATATATATATATATATATATATATTAATATCTGGTATCAAGTATTATTTTGAATACTTAGACTAGACACCGTATACATTATGAGGCAAATACTCAAGTAGTATCATATTTTGAATAGCAATAATACACATCACGGTAGTTAATTACAAAAGAATATGGAAAATAATTGTCTGCATTGTTGATGATAACAAAAATCTTTACGATGAGGCTTATTAAATTATAATAACTTCTCAGTTTTGTGTAGACTGACTACTTAAACACAACGTAGAATACGTTTCGAACGGGTAGATATCTTATACACAATAAATCCAAGTTGATTATTCGTAGGGACTTTTAATTCTCACTCTTTATACTATCATATGGGTTGACTGAACTAATATCTCGACAATGCCTGAATTTTCCAAATTAAATATACTTCGAATGGTGGGTGGAAGTTGAACTCATAACGCATGTGGTCCATTAAGCTGCTGATTCATTATGGTCACCGATGTGACAGCTAATTATAAAATGTTCACAGTAGTTGTAAGTTAATGCTAATCAAATTGCAACGTCTAAAATTGCCGTACGTACGTTTGTAACATTCGATAATAGAAATGAAAATAAAATGCTACCATAAATTAAATGATTACTATGGAGGTAAAATAGATACTGTTGGTCATAATACTACCATTATCTTACGATTTTAACTACAGTAGTCGTCCGCGCAAATATATGGTGAAATTATCCTCTATATATTACTTTATTAATCATGAAAACTCTTTTAATTGAACAGTAGAATTTTAATTTTATTATCCATTCGAATGGGATAAATAACCCTTAAATTATACACATAAGCTACAAAGGAGTTACATGGATTTTGAAAGACTTTGAAAGGAAAATATCGCACAATTTCGTTTACAAATATTTAAATAATGACATTATCATTAGTAATTGCCTACTGAAAACTTACCGAAAACAAAAACATCCTAACAATGTTATCAGGAATCATATTTCTAAAAACATTTAAGTGAAAAAATTTGTTTTTATTTAAGTGAAGATCATATAGTTTACACTGAAAATGCAATCAGAACAAAAATGAATTTATTTTTAAGAATTGTTAGAATCCATAGGTTGTAATAAATGTTCACTGATAATTAAAACTATAATTTGTGCGTATGCAAAATATAATTCATGAAACAACCATGAAAATGCATATAAATGTTCCTGTGAAAGAAGGAAAGTTATGTGATAACTTACAAAACTTCAACTAAGTCTAACTTCTAGGTAACCATTATGAACCTATTCCGAATAAGTAAAATGATCTCTTTAATGTTTTCATCATCATTTCAGTAAACTAAACGGTTTAGAGGAACTTGATTGTTTCTGCAAATCGCTGATTAGTAGTATCTCAAACCCTGATAAAGTCGCTCCTCTAAACATAAGATTCGGGTTAGTACTTCGTCAATTTTTAGGTATAGTTGCTTATCTTCCTGTTCATTAATGGACCTACATATACATTATGAACTTCATATTTTGAGCAAGCTGTTAAATCTTCTTTAAATTTTCTGTACCTACAAGTTTTGTACCCCATCAGTACACATGAACTGAAGCTATTCACGAAATACTTGTCATTCACACAATCCCTATTATACAGGATGAAACGAAATGTCGTTGTAAATTAATCTTTACAAGTTATTTTACATTCTGATGGGGCAAAGCATAGATTGAAACAAATTTATTTCCGTACCTAAAAAGAAATACCAGTTGACATTACATACTCTACTCCGTGGATTTATAGATACGTTGACACAAAAAATAAGACAATCAACAGCTATTATAACTGATTTCATAAAGATTACAAGTTAAAATACAAAACGCAAAATGATGTCTGTAGTAGATGAAATCTGACAGGTTGTTTGTTATAAAATATTCAGACTTGGAACATAGCCAAACACGTTAAGCAGTATGAGGACTCTCTGATATTATGGGTATAAGGCTAAGTTAAATAGCCGAAGTAAAAAAAACACACACTAAAATGATAGGTAACTTTGGAATAAAATAGCCATAATCCTATTATTTATTAATACAGAAAGTCATCACTATAAGTTGTATAAAAAAACAGTAAATACATGTGTCTTATTCGATATAAAATGTATTGGATGTAAGCAGTAAGATAGCCGGAGAGGGGGAGAGAAACTGGTGACATCACACTCACGGGCCTGAACTATTTCAAAACACTTCGGGAAACTGAAATCATTAAGAGTAACGAAATTGTGCTTTTCACATGAGAATTCGGGGTTGCAGTCACCAAATCAAGTACACTTGAAATGATGACATGGTGTATATTACATTACATTCAAACAATATTAATTGACGAAATAATAGGTGATATGTTAAGAAAACCACATAATAAATTTTGGAACGTTATAACGACAATGATATTTGAAAAATTCTTATAAGTGAAGAGAGTTACAATGTATATTGAGTGAATAAACGCAGGAGATTAAAAATTCATTCAGAAACTATGAAGTAGCTTTTTTAAAGATCACTTCTAGCTCATGAGTAGAGTGGTTGATAAGAAGTCAATGTACAGTAGTAAGTTTCCCAGAATTATACAGTTACCAATGAAATAAGCTGTCAGTGTTTGCCCACAAGGCATGTGCGTCTACAGATAACTTAGTACCGTGGATATAAGGGGTTTCCCACACGAAACCAATTACATGGAGTTTAAATGCAATGCTTAAACTGACCTGAAGAAGTCTAGAAATACGTCCGAGATTTCGACTTTCCTGGAGACTTTTGACAATCCATCCGACTTTTCAACACTTGTAGTGAATCTACCACCTAAAATAAACAATTAGGGAAAAAATTTCATGGACCTGGGTCGATAAGTGCGGTAATACCGAGACCAAGAAAAGCCCCACAAATATTCATCGAAACACAGTATCCTAGAGCTAGTAACGCCATTTTCCCTTGCACTGAAGGCTTCAGCTTAGACGACACTACACATATTAGATGTTCGGAAATTCGACAGAACACGGAGATTACTTGACATTATATTCGTGGTTATCAGAGGGATAACAGCAAAATTTAATGATCTGATAAAAAGTTCCCCAGGTAGACCTATTATTTATTAACAGTTTACATAACTACCTATCCACAATAAAACATTTTCTGGGACAGTAAAGAAATTTAGCATAACACCCAGAATGATCCCTACTGCAATTCCTATGAAAGTGGACAGAAGGATAAGATTGTTTTGCAGCATAGCTTTCCATCTGTAAAGAGTTGTATTTAGTGTTGAACAGAAACTATGAAAAAAGTTTGTCAAACCTCATGATTATTTTTGAAGAATTTTTTTCGGAACCTTAGATGTAGTTTGATCCTGCCGTGTTTATCCACACAAACCTCTTGTTTCCGACCTCTTATAGGTAGCGCGTCTAAACTATAACGGCCGGTAGTCTGATTGGCCCATTAGATAGTAGGTAGTCTTTTGAGCGACCTTCAACTGTAGCGCAAAAAGACTGAACGCTACCTAGTCTTGGTAATCAGATCGTCCGAATCTGATACCGATGTTAATGCTGATTTTCGTCGATTGCTCTAATCGATTGGCTAACTTTATACCTGAAAAATCGACATTTTAAGGTCAGGGTTAATTTCACTTTGTCTCAGGCTATGGAATGTCCTAGTGGGGTCCCCCAGGGCTCAGTACTAGAACCTCTTCTCTTCTTGATCTACATAAGTGATCTCCCTCAACAGGTAACATCAGACTTATTACTTCTTGCGATGACGTGAAACTTTGGAGAGAGATACGCAGCCAAGACGATATACAGGCACTCCAGGAGGGTCTGACTCGACTTCAAAGTTGGGCAGACGATAACGGACTTACCTTTAACACTTCAAAGTGTAAAGTATTCCATCTGCGATTTGTAGAAGACTACAGTTATAACTTAGGAAACTCCTCTATGGTAGTATTCCAAGTCGAAAGAGATTTAGGAGTCTTGGTGCCCTACGATTTAAAGTCTTACGCTAACTGTAACAAAAATGCCTTCCGAGCAAACCTTACACTAGTAACCTTGAGGCGCATTTTTGGCCACTTTGACGGAAGAACTTTCCATATAATCTTCAGTAGTTTTATCCGTCCCCATTTAGGGTACGGAAACATAGTATTTCCCCCCTCACTCCAAAAGGATAAGGACACCCTGGAGCGTATCCAACGGCGAGCCACGAAATCAGTTCGAGGACTCAAATTTAAACCTTACGAAGAGCGCCTCCATTCACTTAATCTTTACCCATTAGAGTACAGACGTCTTAGAGATGACCTTCTGATGGCTTATAGTATCCTTAATACTTCTGGACATCCTCTCAAACACCTACTTAAGCTTAGTTCCAGTACTAACCTAAGGGGTAACACCAAAAAACTGGAGACACAACATAGCAGAACGGACTGTAGACACAACTTCTACTCCTTAAGAGTTATCAAATGCTGGAATTCGCTGCCGGTCGAGCTAGTCCAAGCGACTTCCCAGGAGTCCTTTAAGAGGCGACTTGATCTATTCTTAAGGATTAAGGATAGTATCACACTATGATTCACCAATATCTTTTTCCTCTTTTATTGTTAATATACTTAGGTTCCTGCCTGGAGGTTTTGGTGATCCCCTGTTACTAGACACGGAAGCCTGTTAAACGAAAGCTTCTTCAATTCCGTCATTTGAACCATCATAGAAGTTAGGCGGATTTTTGTGCTTACTCAGTCGTCGTACTACTTTTTCTCTCACTATTTTGTCGTTCACATTTTCTCACAACCACTACTCTTCACAGTGCCTCATGACGCAACCTAAATTCAAACTAAAATCAACCCGCTAAAAACTTAACATCACGTTAGTCGTTAAAAATGTGTGGGCTGGGGTTATTTTATCCTTAATAATCATGATGATTGATTGATGATCTATGATGTTGGTCGGTTACGGGTCTCAGGAGAGACGTGCAATTCTGAACGAACAGTCAATAAAAAATACCAGACCGCGAAACGTACATATTTGCTTGACTAGTTGATTTTGGGCTATCAAGAACGGCCGCCATCTCGCTTTTCAGACAGCAGATGCCTTGGGCATCAATAGTGTGTCCGAGAATATCTAGAATATTTCACCGTAAAGGACTCAATATCAATGTAAGATCTATTTCGAAAGTTTTGTGTGTAAAAATCCTTCCATTTATACACTTGCAGTTTGTTCCTATTGATTCCTTTAGTTGTACATTTTGTTAGTCTTTTCGATCCCATTTGGTTGGCAATATTTGTATTTTATTACAGTTTTTATTTTTCTTACGCCTTCATGTTTCTTCCTGAACTGCATTTATGTCGTTTCACTTGATACTTAGTCTCAGTGACAGCCATATTGGTTTGTTCCTCCTTTTAATTGTGTTCCTTGTATTGACTGGAACTATGCATATTGATTGTGAATTGAAGCACTCTTCCAGAATTGAAAACACTCTATGCTGTATAGCAACCAAATATTATCTTTTGAACGAATATGTGCATGATCTATCCAGACAGGATAGAATAACATTTATTTGTTGTGATTGGTAATTTTGTCGCATCCTTCATCAACTTCCTTATTTATTGTAATTTAGGTCTGATTAGTTGAACAATAATTGGTTGGATAGCTGGGTGGTTATATTTGTTTAGGTATCAATGTACATTTAAATTCGTGATGAATTTTCGAATAGTCATTTTCCCAATTACTTTGTTTTGGTTCCAAACGGGCAAGGGCGCGTATCTACCCAAGCAACACAAAAAGGGGAAATAAAGGTGAAGAAAGGGGAAATAAAGCGGATGAAAGCGTAAATAAAGGGGAAATGTCACTTTTTCGCCTTTACGTCGGTTATTTAGGGGAAATGTCGCTTTTTCCCCTTTACGTCATGTATTTGGGGGAAATTTGTCGACAATTATACGTAACGTAACCGCATCCACAACTGAGGTTTTCATAAGCTTCGAAAAATTAAGGCACCACTTAATTAAAAAACAAAACTAATGTCATAAATACAAGGTACAAATTATGGAACCAGGCATTCGGTTGAGACTCATATACACTGACTTCGTTATTTGTTTAGCTAAAGTGTTCCGACATGCTTGGGAGCCATCACAAAAACTTACGTGATTCAGGTGAGTGAAGTGCTCTCAGAATTTCATGTTCATTGTGACTAATTACCTTGTTAGGCCAATAATATGAGTTTTGTTGAAGTCAGTGAGAATGTTCGTAGACGTAGGGCCACTGTGAACTTGTCACGTTCCCTTGGTTGTCACAGAACCACTTATAGTAGGAGGTGGAATAAAATGAGAGCTGCTTTCACGAAAAAATATGACTTCTTTTCGTTCAGTGAGTTTGCTAATGAAAGCACTCTAAAAGGTAACTGAGTTCATTAGTGTTGTTTATTAAATTGATAGAAGTAAAGGCGGAAATCAGTTGTAATGACGGTACTTCAACTGTTACACCATCCACCAGCAACATCAATCAAAGGCTTCCAGATACTAGTGGTATGTATATTAAATTCATACGTGAATATATATCTTATAGGATCTCCTGACGTGAACTTGTGCTCTCATAAGTTCGTAAATCGCAAAGAACTGATGAACGACTTTATGATGTATATAATGTCAAATACATCTCTGAGCATAAGGGATGATGATCGGGTTTTGTATGGTCTACGATTTCTTATCCCGGACATACCGAAAAGCATCAAAGGTGTCCTAAAGGCGTGTCCAAGTGTTCAACCAAAGTTTATCGCAGTGGAGTTTACTACCATCTAGGATTGAAAACCAATCTGCTAAGATACGTTGAGCTTTGGTTGTGTACTATTGATTTTGACTCTCTAAATTTATATATCAATATAGATGGACTTTCTATGTCTAGAAGCCCCAATCAACAGTTATGGCCTATACTAGGACGGATCATTGCCCCTAGGTTTAGTGACGTGTTCATGATAGGGATCTACGGAGGGAATAGCAAACCGGCAGAATTCAACGAATTTTCTGCGGACACAATTTCTGAAATAAAAGAAATGACTGACGTGGGTATTTTTAGTGTCAAGTTTAATAAATGTATAGCTATTAGGTTGGCGGCTGTTACATGTGACGCGCCTGCTCGTTCTTCTGTTAGGTACACGGTAAACCACAACGGTAAGGCAGGTTGCGATGGGTGTACTGTACTTGGGAGAGGGCTGGAGGGGAAAACGACCTTTCGAAATGGAGTATATACTTTAAGAACAGACGACACCTTCCGTCGTCAGACTCAATCAATTCACCATCAAGGACATTCTATAATGGAAACGCTATCTATTAATATGATTATAACCTTTCCTTTAGATCCTATGCACATGACGTACGTTGGTGTTACCAAAAAACTAGCTAATTTATGGATAGATTTAGCACGCCGAAGACTGCTGGACTTTAAGTCATGTGCAATCAGAGACAAAAATAATTTAATATCCGTTTGTGTGGCAAGTACTCCTTCTGACTTTCCCCGCAAATGCCGTACACTAGACTTTGTATCGGCAAGGAAAGCTTCTGAATGTAGGTTGTTCCTTCTGTATTTAGGCCCAGTGATTCTTGAAAAAACATTGCCACAACCTTTTTATTTTAATTTCCGGCGTTTAGCGTTATCCATGTATCTGCTTGCATATTCCAAATTACATAAAACTGTTGTAGAAACCGCTAAAATAGGTGGGTTATAACCCACCTGGACAGCTATTCTTTAGTCCAAGGCTTAGTTTAGATCTTACAATCAATATGCATGAACATTTCATGCTTTGCTTCTCGTCCTTTATTTCTCTTACCCTCTTTTTCGGCCCTCTTAAGACATGCCACTGATAACGCATGTGGAACGGGCGACTTCGTCCTGCGACATCATTAATGCCTCAGATGTTTCAGAGGTACATGAGATCACAGTTTATAGAAGATCTCAAACTTAATTGGATTTGCTTCCAAATATCAGCTGCACGTCGTGTTACGTCCAAGGTTTGCTCGTTTCAGTTATTGCAGTACGGACTATCGATCTACTCGCAAATTACGAACCCAAATTAACAATAGAACCAAACTCCAATTTAGATACCAAATTTATTCGCAATTCACAAATAGTCGACCAAAGTCGTTCTTACAACAATAATTATAACAATTACAAAACAAACCTTCAATTTTGTAGGTTCCCGGAGCAAAACTCCCAAATACCAAACCAAGACAAAGAGGGCACCAAAATACCAAACCAAAGACAAACCAAAATGTCCGAAATAATGATATAAACAAACAAGTTCAAAAGTTAAGTGAAACAATTATATCCAAAAACACAATGAATTATTAATGTACAATAAAAGGTTTTAATCCGCCAAATGTCTTCAGTTCTCCCGTAACACGTCACAACTCCACCTCCATAAAGCGCGCCAACCTTCATATTGACAATACGGATCTTACTAAGTTTATTTGCACCAATATTTGAGAAGTATTATCCCCCATACTTTTATGATCAGTGCACTTCATAAAATACCAAACTAACTGAGTAACCCACCACGGTGAGGATTGTATCTTCTGTAACAATTTGATCTTGCCTGTAAACTGGAATGTCTCATATAACAGACTATTATTTGAGAATAAATTATTATTAGTAAATCCTACCACGGTCAAGCAATAAGAAGATCAAACAAGTCTCTCGACTTAATAAACCATACCTAATTTACCAGACTAACCAGAACAATAATTGGAATCCTTCTCTTATTCTCCTTCAGTTAAAGTGCTAACACAAATGTAGTTGACAATCATGAAATATGAATAGGACTCCATCCAAAACATGAACTGATTTCTGACCTTAAACCACAGAATACTTTATATTGAACATTTTCGACGCACTGACTGGTTTGTCACTTGACGTTTATTAGTCTAGGGGCAAAGTGTATTACTTATACGTTAAACTCTTAGCCACCTATTATTGCTATGGAACTGGTGTGTTCGCTAATTGATTAGCGAAGAAGACGATGTACAGGTGAGGACACTCGTGCGTATAGAGCCCCTGCAGTGGCAAGTCGGAAGAGAGAAGAAGCAGGATATGTAATTGTTCAGTGAGAACCAAAAATGTATTTATAGATGTTAGTGTTTGCCATAAATTTATTATAATTCGGCCAATACGCAAGGAGGCAAGTTATGCTACCATCCAGCTGTAGCATGCCACGTTGATATTCTAGAAAGCTCCGTCAGGTTCTGATTGAGTCAAAACCCTTTGACTCCTTTAGTGCTACTGAACTCTCCGTCGTGGTTCTCGAAAGCCTTCCAAATACCTCCCCGGAATAAGATCTTCTCGGTAGGTCCACTTGTAACCCGAGAACTGGCCTGCGGCGGGCCCCATTTTTCGTTGTCTTCCTTGTCCAAACATTCAATCTTATGTCCCTCCGATATCCTTGAACGTATGTGTCGTTGACGTATATGTAAGTAACTATAATGGAAGATTAACCTGGTTGTTTCCAGAGTGCATCATTTTTTATCTTTGCGGATTCAGCTCGCGTCTCTCATACATATCTCGAAAGCTCCTCAAACTCTAGATAAAACTCTTCCCAATCTTTGAGCAGTTATCCCTGATTCCCTTCGATTCCTTCCGAGAAATGACCTCTCCTTAAATAACTTTAGGATTTTCTTGTAGGTCGTAGACAGAAAGTAAGAACAAATTCCAAGTGTTCTGTTTGGAAGCCAGCACTTAATGGAGTACCGCAAGGCTCTGTCCTAAGTCCTTTACTTTCTATCCTGTGTGTGAATGAACTCCAAAGTATAGTTGAGTTCCCAATGCTACTTTATGCTGATGGTGTGAAAATCTGGTGAGAAACGACAGAAGCTGCAGATGAGCGAGCGCTCCGAGCAGACCAAGATATTCAGCTGTGCAATTCCAGAACTCCGAAGTTCACCATACAAAGAGCGGCTTGAGAAGCTAGACCTTTTTACTCTGTTCTACCTCAGATTGGGCGGTTTGATTTTGGTGTATAGAATACTAAAAATGATTTTGTACCTGATATGTCCTCAGAGGACATAGTAGGCGAGTAGAAAAGTCAAGGACGAACAAAGTACCAGTGGCATACAAGTTCTCATACCGAATAATCATTTCCTGCTACCTGTTATCCGAACCTATTGTGTCCGCACATTCAATTGATTCATTCAAAAAAGCCTAGGTACTCATATTGGCTTCCTAGAAAAGGACTAACATAAGCCGTCATTATACAAATCTGATTCTGAAGGTCACCGATAATTCAGATTCTCAAGGACAAACCTAATGACTATTTGGGCGTGCAGCTTACGCAAGTTCCTCTTGATCGGAAGAAACGTTCTACTTTGTTCCGTTGTTTCCAGATACAAGCGGTTCATTTCGAATTTCGCTTATCCTCCGTCTTCGGGGTTGATGAAGCTCCCATTGTTTGCTCTGGCATTCCCTACTATTCAGCTCAAAACGATTGGTTTGGACTTTAAGGGCTTCAAAAACCCTGATATATTCGAATGCATTCTATCTATGAACAGCAAGTCTCTCTCTAGGTTTACTTGGTCTTCGTTAATAATTTTCTACAGCATTTTGAAGGGTAGTAAGGAGGCTGTAAAAGATAGACATTCTTTAGGATGGACTCCACTAATGCTTGCAGTGGTTACCAGGAATTACGAGTAGTTTTTTCTCATTATCGTTTAATGAACTGAAGGGCAGTGAAAGAATTGTTGAAGTCTGGCTCAAATCCTAACGACGTTGACAATTATGCTGGTATCGTAAGAACTGCACATGATTTGAGAATGATGTCTTCGGAAGGTAATTTGTCTGTGCTTCCCAAATACGCTTAGTTGAGTGGATACGGCTTACACAGTTTAGTGACTTTCTGAATCCATCGGCTGATTTTCGTGGTTGTTCTGCACTTCACTATGCTGTGTTAATAAATGACTCCAAATTGGTTCGTTTATTGCTGGAATTTGGTAAGTTGTCCTGTTCTTTTTTCATTTACTACTATAAAATCACCTCACTTGACTGCGTCAATGGACACAGGACAGTACGCGTATCAATGATAAAATTTATAATACAGATTAGACTTTAGGATTGTGGGAGCTTACACCAAACCAATTACTCTGTGATGACTACACATAATTTTGCAAATTGCTTCTGCGTTAAACCTCACCAGTCCTATGTAAAATCTTAATAACTTAATGTTTAAACAACATCAAAAAGACGTGTGTAGTAAATATCAACAAATCATTGAGTGTATTAGCTTTAGATCATAGTTTTTCTAACTTAATATACTTACATATTTCAGTCCCCTGCTTCAGTTTGGGCGCCTGGGCAGTATTCCAGCCCTCACGCAAATCGATTGATAAAGTGCGGTGCATATATATTTGATGCCGCCTTGTACCAATGTTTATGTGTTTAAATAAATAAACAAATGTGTTAGTTCGGCAATGATTTTGGGTATGTTCAAAGCAAATGCCTTAGAGGTACATTCGTAAGTTATTTGGAGTAAAAAAACGTGTCTTTAAGTCAAATGCAAAGAAATTCGTTCTGTAAAAATATATTTCCAAGAATTATAATAAGGAAATAAACTACCTAAAATTAGATCATTGACATTAAAATAATCCAGGGTTTCACAACTTCTTGTCCTTCAGCTCCGGTTTAGCACAATCACTACTGACTTCACTTTGAAGATATTATTTATCTGGCCATTTGGTCTTCGAATTTCTACAATTCCACATAGTCTATCGGAAACGTAACTCAGCGACTCAGTGCATTATTCCATACTTGGTTTTGAGCCACATTTATTTTGTTGGGGCCGATAAATCTACTTGAATTTCTTAACCAGAACAGATAGGGTGGGGTTATTCGAAAATCCAGTTGTTCAGATCCTAGTGCCTACATAACTAAGTCGCAGCTGAACAAATATTGAGGTTTTCTAACTCGAAACGATTACATCATTTCGGAGCGCTACTTAATTTTGTGGAAGTACTTATTCCGTCTAGTCATCCAGTGTGAGGTATGCAGATTACTAAAATGTCGACTAATGTTTTAACAAGAACTTGGACGAAGTAGCTGTTATCATTGTATTTTCGATGGGCACTAAGTATCAAAGCATAACATCAAACATTATTCACCGTTCATTTCTTCATAGATCATTCATCTAGAGAATTGTTCGCCTCCCAAATTTTCCGGAACGGTTTCATTTGTAATCCCATTTTATTAGCTAGAGGGCTCTAGTTACTTTTGATGTCGAATCTTATGACACGTATCCTTCTAAATAACAGGGTGTTTGCCTTTAAGTTTACTGTTCCCGTTTATCATCTTAGGTAAATATTTGTCGGTTATTCGAAGCGTTGTTGTGATATGCTGCCTTTAGTTACTTCCAGCTAAGGTTTTGTGTTATCTAGATTTTTCACGTTAGTCAGATGCTTAATATTCTTTGTGTTCACTGTGTGGGTCCTCACAATGCTACCAACTTAAGTTAACAGGTGAGTTCTCACAATACTTAGACGATGTGACCATATGACAAGACACAATTTTGATTTCACGTTCCTAATTTACTGTCATTTTAATGTCTATAGGGGCTGATCCGACTATAGTGAACGAACGTGGTCACCGTCCAGTTATGTACGCTAAAGACTCCTCTATCAGGGATTTGCTAGCTGAGGCTGAGTCGAAGGTATGTTTTCATGATCGTATACTCTGTCGTAATATGAATCACATTTCTCAACAGAAGAAACCAACTAGTATGAGATTGTAATTTCCAGTAAAATGGGTCAAGATACTACGCTATATAACTGCTGTGTCAATCTGAGTGAAAACAAACCAGTCTCAAATCGCTAACTTCCCTTTTTAAGTAGTTGTAACTTGGAATATACATGTTCAATTATTGTTTTAAACCTTACTCAGATCTACATGAAGTAAAAGATAGGTCAAATATTACGGAGCCTAATTAATTTTCACACCCAAATTAAATAATTTTTTTAATCAGAATTATGTGATATATTTGCGCAATACATTTCGAGCAATCTGATCACACATGTTCTTAACAAGTATATGTATGATCGGATTGTTCGAAATGTATTGCGTAAATAAGTTTTCACACATTTCTACTGGAGTCATTCAAAGGTAAGCAACTTAGTACTATGCTCATTTTGAACTGCCATATTCTTTTTGGATATACGAAATTAACAAAGTCGAACTAAAGTAAGTGGAATCAACAATTCAAATCATAGTAGTGAACTATGACTGACTGTAGTAGAAGAATAGAAGTTCTGGGACGAAACTTGGAAAATAAGAGTGGAAGAAAAGTAAACATATCTGCACTTTGAATCGCGCTTAAAGGTCTCCAACCATAGACTATCTCACGGACCCTAGACGCAAATTATTCACTTCCTAATAGAGTTTAGAACGGCGATCAGTTTTTCCATCCACTTATGCTATGTGTTTATGTGAGTGTTCGTAGTCTCTTTACAAACAGTCATCAATATCTGAACATGGGTGACACATATCTCAACCGTCTCCCTCCTAAATTAAACTGGATTGAAGAAACCTTGTCATTGAATTTAATTTCTGTGTTTGCATCAACGAAAAATATGCGACTTTTTGTGGGGAACAACTGACTTCTGAGTTAGTTATACTGAAAGCTCTCAACCAAAACTCGCCTTCAAGATATTTTGTGTGTATAAAAGTATGAGCACGCGTAAATTAAATCTATCCTAGTATTTCAAACTTCTACCGTAGATTTCACTAATATGATAACTGTTGTCTTCCTACCGTTCGAGCTTAAACTCAAAAGTTATGGTTTTATGTTCGTTCTAAGCTTCGAAAAATATTTTTTTTGGAGACATGAGGTTCAGAGGGTTTTATACTAATTTTATAAGTCCACAACTTTGTTATGACAGACTGTAAGTGCCAGCGTATGCGTGATCCACGATCACTGTGATAACTGGTCAGAACCATGTACCTTGGTGGTGATGGCCACTGGAATGTTCCAAATTACCTATGTCAGTAGCGGTAAAAGGTTTGGTATCAACTAGATAATTTCTGAGGTGGGTAATGCACCTAATGACAACCTTAACAGATATTCGAAACTCTTGAAGAGGCAGGTCAAGCTATTTGGAACAAGTTTTCCTTGCTTCATGGCTGATAAATATCAGCCAACTTAATGGATTAAAGACTTACTAGTAAACACAATAAATATGTTACCAAAAAAAGATTTGGTTTGGACACTCTACTCCATAATCTTTACAAGGCTTGAGGGAACATTTTAGACAGTTGTAGAGTTAATGTATCTTCATTTAAAAAGCATTCAAAATGGAATCGAAGTTTCAATCAGCATTTAAAGTTGCCATTGCAGTTTGAAAGCTCTTTAATGCAAACGATTCGAGAAAGTTTACAAAGTTATCAAGTATACTTAATATCACTACTATATTATAATGCATAGCTTCATGATCACTTTTGTTTATATAATCTTAATTTAAATGGGAAGTCAGTAAAATATTGCATACCAACGCAATGGAGAGATTATATAGAGTGCATAAAAATGCATAGCAAGAGGTGTCGGAGTGTATCAGTATGTAGATATGTGGATGTCTTCAACCTTCTCTAGACCCTCATACAATATCGTACTTATTTCTGTCCAACATTCATTGTGTTTCCTAACAGGAGACCTACTTTTAATTCGTTAAACACGACTGTTCTTTAACTGAGAGGGGTGCTTGTGAATTCTGTCGGTACCTTAAAAGCTCTACAAACCGACATAGGTAGGTGTCATAGGTATTTAACACCACTGAGGTTTAGACCGCGTTCATAATATTGGGAGGGATGTATTCTTACATTCACTCCTTCCTAGTGATGAACGACTTTAAATAATTGAGAAGTTTATATCCTTTGAGGCCATCGTGACATTATTATAGCTGTTAAACGTTGGGTTTATAATGCATTAGTACAAGTATTACGCTTGTTAAACTGACTCTCAAGGTTAAAGATGTTTAACAACCTTCTGTTGCTGGTTATCGTTGTTTCCAGAAAATTCCTCAAATCTAATCACAGCAATAAATAATCCTGAGATCTGTTCATGTTCAAATGTACTAGAGGGTCATTATTCGATTGATGATATCAACTTGAAATATCAGCTAAGGTGACTTAAATACGTTTAACCCATTATGTGTTAGTAGTTGTCATACTAAGGATCGTTTGCTTCTGCTGCATTCGCTACGATGTTTTATATTCGTATCTCACAATATGAAAAGCAAACCATAGCTCATGGGTTAAATAATATGAACACATATTTTATTTTCTTATCTTAAGCGTTTAAAGTATTCACTCCCTATAATAATCGGCTTTTGTAGAAGGCAGAAGAAGTGGCTGCCAAAGAGCGAGAGGAAAGACGCCTTCAACCACTAGAAAATCGTTTACGTAAAGTAATTGTTGGTCAAGAAGCTGCTATTCGCACTGTTAGTGCAGGTTGGTTCATTATACACCTTTCTGTTTTAATCATTTGTATTACTGTTGTAATGAACGAAGACTTAGGTTTGGCAAACCAGTTTATTATTTCGTGCAAAATTACAGTTTTTTTGGTAGAATATGAAAACCATACACTGAATACATTATTTGCACATTTTCCTTCGGTTCTTCTTTACATGCTTCATGATTCCTCCAGTTCTGTTATTATCACAATTATTCTGTTTCCCTTTTTCTTCTCTTCAATTCAATCTTCTGTTAACAGGCATCCTACTTCTGATTGCTGCTGCATATCTGTCAGTGTAATTAGAATACACTACACCATAATGCTTTTAAATACTTTTTGTCATGCTTCTCTAAGTTATTCTATAAGTTTTCGTAAAACCTGTGATTGAAAAAGTTGTTTACAGAATCCTGGTATATTATTACTTATTTTATTACAGTAAGCTCAAATCTGAGGTCTTCTGTCTTTTGATAACTTTAAAAAATTATCTCGGAGATTTTAGTATAGTAAATAAAAACACTATATTTTCCCTCTTACTATGATAGGGATCTGTATTGTTTACGCTGACAGGTGTTAATCAGTTCTCCCTTTTGCACATCAACAATCATTCTGTACTCATTAACAAAATGAGAACGAGAGTTGTTATGGTAGTAGATATGTATTCATACAATCAGTGATTCACACAGCCAGAGAAGCACCTACTATAGCTGATCCTATATATATGACAGTCCAGTATTATTCTGTTTAATAAATACAAAAAATATAATTGTGGTTTACTTGGGTATCAAATATGTATCTAGTATTTTACAATTTCTTGATCCGTGCCACTGAGTTCCATACTAATCATTCACGTTAATATTCGGTTGTATTACTTAGTGGAATGGACCATAATAGTGGTACATGTATGACGACTTCTACACACTGCAATTTCGAATCAATTTATTCTATATTTTATGAAATATTTAGTGTTTTTGTATTCCCTAAGGCTGATTAATAATTTATTTCATTGTATTTGGTTGGAAAAATTCCTAGTTATTGGTAGATTTTCAAAACCATTGTTGTTTCAGTCCTCTTGAAGATATATGTTGCGACCAAATGATAGGTATGCAAACATAACTTATATGGAGCGAAATAATTCCTTTGCTTGCTCCATAAATGAATACTTACAACATACTTCTACATAGTGGTGACAACGTTTAATTGTATCGTTTGATTTCGGGTTTGGCATCATAAAATAATCGTGATTTGAAAAAACTGAATCTCTTATCTTTTGACACTCTTTAGACAATAGGTGGCTTGTTCTAATCACAATTCTTCCAACTCTCTTGGTCAACAAAAATAAAGTATTATTTTGGCTGGTTCACCTTTCATAATAATGGATTTCATGCTTTACACTATCTACCAGATGTTTTTATCAAAAATAGTGCTCCAAAAGCACTGGAAGTTGTACGAAGATTTTTTAGTATATTACTGGTCATTTTACAATTGTTTACTATTGAGACATTTATTAAGAATCTAAGGTGCAGCATATTGACACAAAGTAGTATAACTGAGAGAATTAGTATTGTTTTTAAAAGTGAGTGTTCATTTGTTTTAACTGATGTGATGTAGTCAAGTGATGACTATTAATCAAAACCGAAATTGATAACTGCTATAACACGGCAAATATTAAGTAAAGTGGAACCTTCAAAACTGTTCTAGCTGAAGTTATTATTTGTATTTTTGTTGTATAATTACTGAATATCGGTCGAGTGAGCGTGGATGAACTGTGTTCTAGACCAATAGTTTTTAGATGTTATTTTCGTCTGCCATTTCACTACCATCGTATAATTGGTACTATATAAACGATCAAGGTAGAATGATCAATACCCGTACTAAACCATGCTACTGATCTCACATGATTATAACTCGATCATGCGGACTCCAGTACAATCCACAGAAATCGGTTTATATATTTCTTTTGGTCGTATTAACAACATAAAACTTCCGAATAAACAAATATGAAAAATCCAAATCCGATGACCAGCAAAATTTATTATTAGCAAACAGCACTATTTTGTCCAGAACGTTTGATACTAAGTTGTGTATGGTTAAAAACCATTTAGAATGTGAATAATTGCCAAATATATGTATGTAGATCGATAATCAGTGTATTGAATTCCTAACAAAGTGGTCTAACCTTTTGTTGAATAAATCAAAAGCAAATCAGATTTATTCTGTATCACTGATCAGTTAGCCTACTGTTGAGACTTTTAAGACGACATGAATATCGTGAGTTGCTCCATTGATCTAAGGTAAAGAAAGTCCAAATAGTTCAAAAATAAGCTACATATTATTGAAATGTTAAAGACGGTGAGCATTCTAGTATTTTGTTAATTATTTGGGAAGTTTTAAAAGCTTGTTAGTTATAATATTAGAGATATGTAGTCCCCCATAATCTTGAATTCGCGATGTTTTTTGAATCAGCGAATGTTCATAATTTTTGAAGCTATAAAGCCATTGTGATTTATGATGCATAGAAAAATAATTTATTTTAACAGTTGAATTCACCAGTGATCTAAGCTAGATCACCATTAAAAACCTGGAAGTAGTAGGCGGCTTAGATCGATTCGTGAATTCAACCGTTAAAATATTACAATCTTCACGAATCCCCATAATGCAAATAATTTATTAATAAACATTTTTGTGGTTACAGGACTTTTGAGGAATGTTTCTAAATAATATTTTAGGCATATAGAAACACTTCCTTTTAAATGTAACGTAGTGTAAAATATCATATTTATATGTCATGCCTAAAGTAATTTAGAATTGTACATATTTAGTTACTATTTTGTACTTCCTAATTAAGTAGATACATTCCGTAGTCATTTACTTTGGGTTAACAATACTTAGCTACTGTAGATAAAACTAGTAGTACAAAAAGCACTTCAATATTTTCATGCATAGTTAAAATGGTTGCATATTTGAACCCTGTAGTCAACTTTGAGCTTCAGTTTTTGTGCATGCGGTGATGGCGCTAAAAAACTACCGGAGGCAAATGAAGCGAACCGAATTTCGAACCTGTGACTCACTGGTTAAGATTCTGCTGTTTTAAATAAATCGTGATTTTATCAGCGTTCACGTAGTTATGGTATTTTTTTGGGTTAAAATGTCAACATTTCCATTAATTTACAAACTCCTATTTTAGTTTGATATTCCATCTATGGATTTGTATTGTATGAATCTCTGTGATAGATTGTCAGATGTATGAACTTCAGGTTGAAAGTCGCGTTGCTATACTCTCAGTATTACTATTTAAATCAAGTGTTTTCAGCGCTGTTTATCTCTTTAAAAGTTTAGATGACTTCGTTAGAAAATCTTGTGTAACCTTTTAAGGAAAATTGTGGAAGAAAATGATTTTGTAATTCACTTGTCACATGCATCATGTATACATGAACTAGGAATTATATAATATTGTGACCTATTAGCCAAATTAGTCAGTGTGTGTAATTTCATTAAATCAACGTATGAGCCATTTTAATGATGTGTTGCTCATTATTTAGTTAGCCTAGAATAAGTCATAAGCACATTTTATGTATATCTCGATTATACAGGATTATGTAAAATAAATGCTTATGACATGAGTCGGTTTGAAATTTTTCAAAATTCCATAAATTAACTAATCATAATTCAAATGTAAAGTGGTTGTTTTAAAATATTTTTTCAACATTTTTTCCGCTTATTTTTTTTTCATTTAGCTATAAGACGTAAAGAAAATGGTTGGTATGATGAAGATCATCCACTTGTATTTCTGTTTCTCGGATCATCCGGTATAGGCAAAACGGAGTTGGCTAAACAAGTAGCAGCATACTTACATAAAGACATTAAAAAGGGCTTTATACGTATTGATATGTCGGAATACCAAGAAAAACATGAAGTATGTATTTTCCAAGTTCTTTGTTAAAATAGCTTACTAGCTCGTGTACCTGATACATATTTGTGTACTTAGTTTTAAGCGTGAGGGCAACAGTTATACCTAGGTCCCCAAACGGAAGTAGATGAAGTGGTGTCTCAAGGCCAAAAGGCCTGACCACTGAGGCACGTCTTAACTTCTTAGGTTTTAGTTATATGTACATATACTGCGACATATGCTACTTATGTCGACAGATATAAGTAGTATGTAGCACAAATCGGAAGTGAAATTCACGACTGCAGAAGATTGGTAAGATTTTTTTGAAGAAAACAGAAAGTAATTGTAATAACAACGGGATTGAAAGAGTCATAAAATATGTTAAGGGAGATGTGCAAATTATGTATTTGATCTATGGTTTTCATATTTTACGAAAGCACTCTGTAATTTTGTATTAAATAACAAACTGGTTTTCCCCACCAAGTCTTTCTTCACTACAATACCATTGGTTTCAATATGAAAATTCTTAAGAAATAAGTGAACTACACAAGTAAACCACCAAGCTTGGGTTGTGCTGCAAAATAATCAAGAATATTCCTTCGAATTATTTCAACGGTTTCGTGTATCGTTATTGTATCTTTATTGTTTAAACGCACAACTTACATAATTGTATAACTAAAATGCAAAATCAAAATGTCATAATTTATAAATCTCAATAAGTTTATGACAGAAACATTATCCAGCATACGCATTACGACCTATTTAGAACTTGTCAGCTGAATATATCTTCATCTCAATGTCACTCTGCAAACTGAAACTCGAACTTGGCATCTATCGTTTTAAACGTCAACTTTTGATTCCCTAAGTTAACAGAGTTAAGATAGCCATGAATTCATTCAACAAGTATTATAAAAACTCATTGGAAACATATCAGTTTATTCATCAAAGAATAAAGGAGCCCTTTTCATAGTCTCCTTTGTTCTTGTTGGGGTGGATATATCACCAAACTCATATTTTGTAATTTATCATATCGATTAAATGTTTAAATATTTGAATGGCAGTCAGTTGATGAACTTATCGTTTAAATTTTTAAATAGCAGACAATTGATGACTCATTAATTATTGTTTGAAAATTTCCTATGACAAAATCGATATATATATTTGTATAAATACGCTTGACTTGTATGCTTGATCTGATCTGCCTGCCTGACTTGGTATCTGCTGTTGCTTGTAGAATACACTTTCTACGCCTTACCAAGACTTCTTGATCGAGTTAGCTGAGTCGAAGACAACGAACCAGAATAGTCTATTGAGTCTCTGAATCCTGAGCCTTCGTTCCGTTCTGAATAAATCGAATCAGTAGTATCCTCAAGGTTAACGAACCTAACAATTTGGCGACGGTGGTTTTGGAAACATGGATCATTTTAAACTTGAATTATTACTCGAGCAGCAGATGGAACTTATTCAGATGTTAGCAGATGCAAAGCTTACGTCTAATACTCAACCAAGCAGTTCTAATCCTACTGCTACTGCACCATCAGTTGATGGTATCGCTAACAGTATCTCCGAGTTTCATTACGATCCAGAATCCAATGTCACGTTTGATATGTGGTTTCGACGTTACGAAGACTTATTCAAATTCGACTTTGCTAATCAGGATGATGCTTGGAAGGTCCGCTTGCTGCTTCGAAAGTTGGGTCCTAGTGAACTAGACAGGTATTGCAACCTAATTCTGCCTCTAAACCCACGCGATCGTTCATTCTCCGACACTGTTCAGTCATTGAGCCAACAATTTGGAGACAACTCACTATTCAATGCGCGTTATCGATGCTTGAAGCTCACTATGAACGAAGACGCTGATTTTCTCACACATGTGGGTATCGTTAACCGAGAATGTGAACGCTTCCGGTTGAAGTCGCTTACTGAAGACCAATTTAAAGCACTCATTCTCATCTGCAGCCTTCAATCTCAGAAGTTCAATGACATTAGAACACGTTTGCTAAGTCGATTGGACCAAGACCCAAAACTAACCCTTAATGATATTGCAAACGAATATCAACGCCTAATCAATCTACAGCGTGACACTACGATGGTCCAGCGTGGTGGTTCAGATCGTACCGAAGTTCATGTAGTCCAACAACCACGCAACTCGCATAAATCTGCCCCAGCAACATCTAGTTCAGGTCAAAAGACAAAAACAAATCCTCCTGCCCCATGCTGGCACTGCGGTGCATGGCATTTTGTTCGATACTGTCCATATAAGCAACATCGGTGCAGGAAATGTAACGCGGTGGGTCATAAAGATGGGTTTTGTCGAAAAAAGAAGCCGAGCAGCTCCAGAGGTACCAGAAAACCTACTCCTAGATCCAACACGAATTCGTTGAGCTTAATAGCAAGCTGTGAGAACTCATCCCCAGTTGAGAGGAAACTTATTACCCTTAATATTAATGGGCACCCATTTAGATTGCAAATAGACACTGCATCTGATGTAACAATTCTCTCACGAAAATATTGGATCAGAATGGGAAGACCACGCATGGTTCCAACAACACAAAAACCTCGAACTGCATGCGGTAATTACCTACGTTTGTTGGGACAACTAGATTGTAAAGTGTCTTTTCACGATTCGACGTTTACCGGTGTATGTTACATCACACCATCTGATCTTAATCTACTTGGGTTAGACTGGTTTAACCGGCTATATTTAGCTGACGTTCCTTTAAGCACCGTATGCCATCTGGTGAAACAACCTCATGAACCTGAAGTATATTCGAAAGAACTACTGACGGAGTTTTCAACCAGCGAACACCCCACGGCCAGTTATTGCCTCCCTGATGACAGAGGACTACGCACAGTGTTACCTAACAACCGCTATCCGTGCTTTGCCAGTCTCAGCAGCTGAAATACAATCTGCATCCAAGAACGACTCCATCATAAATAGAGCGATGAAATACGTCACCAATGGCTGGCCGCCAACTGGACTCGATGGTGACTTGAAGCAGCTTTACCACCGTCGGGATTCATTATGTGTCGTAAACGAATGCTTGATGTTTGGAGATAGAGTAGTGGTGCCCGAATCCCTAAGATCAAAGGTGCTAAAGCAATTCCACACTGGTCATCCTGGTATAAAACGAATGAAATCCATCGCCAGAAGCTATGCTTATTGGCCCCTCATGGACCAACATATCGTGGATTTAGTAAGCAAGTGCACACAATGTCAGCAAGCAGCTAAGTGTAACGCGAAAATACTACCAGTCCCATGGCCACAGCCTGAGTATCCCTGGTCCAGGATACATGTCGATTTCGCAGGCCCAATTAATGGAATCACCTATCTAGTCGTTGTTGACGCCTTTTCGAAATGGCCAGAAATCGTTCCCGTCATGCCATCAACGACAACCCAAACGACGCAACTTTTGACAGAGATGTTCTCCCGCAACGGATTACCGGATATAATCGTATCCGACAACGGTTCGCAATTCACCTCAAGTCAATTTCAAGAATTTTGCAAACGCCTATCTATCAAGCATTTCCGCTCTCCACCGTACCACCCACAGTCAAATGGCCAGGCAGAAAGATTTGTGGATACATTCAAGAGAGCTCTAATGAAGTCGAAAGGGGAGGGGACGACAGTAGAAACACTGCAGAATTTCTTGTTTGTTTACCGAACAACACCTAGTGATATGCTACCACAGCAGAAGTCCCCGGCAGAGATCCTGATGGGAAGGAAATTGAGGACGACCCATAGTCTGATGTGCCCAAGAACCACACCACCACCATCTCAGACCAAATCTCAGAAGCTTCCAGCCTACGAGGTCGGATGCCCGGTGTTTGCTCGAGACTACAGAGCAAATCATTGTCCTTGGATCGAAGCACGTGTGGTCGGAAGACTAGGCCAAGTTATGTACGAGGTAAAGGTGGGAAGAGACACGTGGACTAGACACCGAAATCAACTACGGGAGCGGATAGCCTCAGACCGCCCATCAAAAGGAGAAAATCTTCCCCTCGACATCATGCTTGATACCTTCAACTTACCACCAGCCCCACCACGAGAAGAAGCTCAACAACAAGCTGAGCCCCGTCCCAGAAGGTGACCTCTCCGTCAGCGGCGAACTACAGTCAAAATGCAAGTCGACCCCAGAAAAGTACGCTATTAAAAAGGGGAGGAGTGTTGGGGCCGATATATCACCTAAACTCATATTTGTAATTTTATCATATCGATTAATTTTTTTTTTTTATGTTTAAATATTTGAATGGCAGTCAGTTGATGAACTTATCGTTTAAATTTTTAAATAGCAGACAATTGATGACTCATTAATTATTGTTTGAAAATTTCCTATGACAAAATCGGTATATATTTGTATAAATACGCTTGACTTGTATGCTTGATCTGATCTGCCTGCCTGACTTGGTATCTGCTGTTGCTTGTAGAATACACTTTCTACGCCTTACCAAGACTTCTTGATCGAGTTAGCTGAGTCGAAGACAACGAACCAGAATAGTCTATTGAGTCTCTGAATCCTGAGCCTTCGTTCCGTTCTGAATAAATCGAATCAGTAGTATCCTCAAGGTTAACGAACCTAACAGTCCTCTTCAACCTAGCATCATTTGTGTTATTTATTTATTTTCAAACACCCCGTTACTTTGACAACATACAGATTGACCGAAATCTATTTTAAATTAATGTAATTGCTCATACTTTATAGTGTTTTTGCATTCCGATACCTTTCCATTTACAGAATAATACGTGTAATATGTATCAATAATGATCCCCATATTTGTGTTACTCTGTTAATATCGGCTAATTACTTTATTGAATTAATAGTTAATTAATTAAATATAGATTGAAGTTAATCAATCGATAATATTCTGTCAGCTCTGTGCTATTCTGTTACATGATGCCCTAAGATTTTGGAAAACTACTCAATACCACTGTCATTTCGTTAAGATTATCGCAGAGATTGAACACCATTTTATTAGCAGCTATATAAACTTTGAGTTTTGTGCATTTCTGATATTCGTCTGTTGAGATGCTGTGGAACTAAAGGGTGGCAGAGTATGATTCTGCTGTCCTTTTCGACCAACAGTTCACGTTTTATGACGTTTGGGAAACCAGCTATGAAGAGTAAAAAAATTAATTGTACGCAAGAACATTTACTACGGAAGACCGAATAAATAATACTACTACTAGACTGGCTTATAAACCGATTTGTGGCCAGCGACCTTGAGCAGAGGAATAACTCATCAAAATTATGTTACCTACATTTGCACTTCACAATTACCTTGTATTCTCTTCTCAACAACACATGATCTGTTTGGTTTCCTGGGATATCATCTCTCTCGAAAATTCTTATTTTTTGTCTTCATATGTGCGTTAGTGAGTGGGTATATAATTTTTTCCTCTATCTTTTTCAGTCTCTGTATTACATTGTGCATATGGTTAGTTTAAAATTTTCCATTATTATTTTATAGGTGTCCAAATTCATCGGATCACCACCGGGTTATGTTGGTCATGAAGAAGGTGGTCAGCTTACACGAGCTTTAGCTGCTTGTCCTAATGCAGTTGTTTTGTTTGATGAAACAGAGAAAGCTCATCCAGATGTTTTGACAGCTTTGTTACAGTTATTTGATGAAGTAGGTCACATTTAATCTATACAATTTTATAATGTATGTTTTATTGATAAACTCAGATTGAAAATATTATACTTATAAGTATTTCGTAAGTTAAATGTTGAACGAATAGACGGAAGTGAAAGTTCGTTAGTAACTAAGTAATCCCTATTATTTTAATTCATATCTTTTTCTATATCTAACTTTTTTGTGTGGATAAAACTAACAAGTTTTAAATCTTTAATATGAACTCACATACTCATTCAATCGGCTAACAATTTTGTTTTTCAAAACTCATCCAGTTAGGATTCGAGGAATTGGTTCTGTGAATACAATTATAATTTAAATCATAATATCTATTCTATTAATTTTATCAACTAATTGATTTATCATAACAGGCTGGTACATTAAACCTTGTAAAGGCTAAATATAAAATTATATTCCAATAATGAAATTTGGAAAAGTATAGATAAATATAACATTTTGTTTGCTCGACGGATTTTTCGAGCCGCTCTAATAGGTGTAGACTACCTTGTAGGGGTCCGTGTAATTATCGTAACCAAGGACTAGAGACCTTGAGTGACATGGCTCAAAATCGTTTGCAGTGGTCCACGTGCATCCTTTCTATGTCTTCTCCCAACTTCTGAGCTTTTGAATCTTTCATAGCTTTTTTTGTTATGATTTCATTAATTTATATTTTCTTGAATCATATCTTCGATGTCCAGAATTTCCAACCACCACTCATACTGTTACTACTGTAGTGAACAAGAACACGGGTGGGGACAGTCGAATGTATCTAACACAAAAGTTACGGAGCATCTCAATAAAACCGGTGTTCATCTTGCTGTGCTAATGAGGTATGGCAACCTGGACCGATGCACATATGTGCCTGGTCCTACATTGTAGCTGACTGACTGATCTCAATAAAATCTGAGGACTTTATATTAAATCGTTAATTTGCAAAATGTCCACCAGTTGTCTCAAAATGCCTCAGACTTCATTGTTATTACATTTTCATACAAATTGCATTCTATTCCCGCTCCTGCTTTCTTGATCTTCCCTCATCTTCTGCTGCCGGACACTACATTTCTGACTCGCATAATATACTACTTATATCAATATAAGTAGCACCCACCACACTACCTGTACTATTTTGCGATTTGGCCTGAAGACTTCAGCTCTCTGTGTTAATGAGGTATAGCGACTTGGACCGATAACATACGCACCAGATTGTACATTGTGACTAACTGACTGATTTTCAGGTAGGAAGTCATTCTATCTATATTCTTTGAATTTATTTGGTAAACTACAGCAATTTATGTACATAAGAAATCTATTCCAGAAAACTCGCAGGGATTAGGAGAAAAAATCAAAGGAAATGGGCAGCTGATGACATGACACTATAGTATGAAGAAAAGCTGTGCAAGACTGGCAGCTTTTAATTCATCATAACTCCCTGATTAGGTGATGTGACCCATTGCCTTGAGACGTTGTCAGATATGGCTCAGAATAGAAGCCAGTAACAATGCTGCTTTAGCTTTTTAAACACTTTTCATAGGGGTGCATGGAAGAAGTTTTCTTGATTGCATACTTAACCGTTCTGTATCTCTTTTTGTATATTGTTGTCGTTTGTGTATTTCAAGTCATCTCCCTTCAATAACTCTTCATAATTTGGTTTCTTTATTAGTATGGTACATACTTTATTTTGATGCCCAGCTGTTCCAGTATTAATATGTATTAAATAAACCAATAAATAAATTCTCAAAAACTGAAGAAAAAAACTAACGAATGTAGTAAGGTTTTCATTTAAATTTGTTGTCTTATGGACTGCAGATTAGATGCGCAGCGTCTTATCGACCGGATCAATGACACGTGAACACGTAAGAGACGACCTAGAGTCCCGATTGGCCCTGCTTCCTCGTCTAGCCCAACCAGTTGAGTCCAGAACGCAAGTCTCAGCTTCTGAGATGTGAATCATTGTATTTCAAACATACTCTGTTTATATACCAATCAGACAGACCACATCGTGCCATAAAATAGAGAACAACATTTGTACAGTATTTAACATGTGAAATAAATATTGACTAATGGGGAATGTCCATTTAAAGTCCAAGGACACCATTAGACTTAACATGATAATTATTAGTATATTTTTCTGCATATCCTAACAAAATTAATTTAGATTCTTAAAATGATGTGGGTAGTTTCTTATTTTAAATATGACAATACCATGACTATGTGCATTCTTACCACATTATAGAAATTTATTTATTCACAACTTTATTGTTATGTAGCACAGACAATAAATAAATTTTATTAAATTTCATGTTTTAATTTTATTTACTGTCTATAGTATCTTTGTCCATATTTATGTATTTTTGTTTGTCAACATGTAGAGCAGCATTAATTACGATTAAACGTTTATATTAAACTTTTCATATACACTTGTCGATATTTATTTATGTGTTGTATTATGGTTATGTTTTTATAAAATAATATTTTTTATCAATATCCAATCAAATCAATAATAGTTAAACCAGTTTATTTGTATTTGTATTCCATATTAAATGTGAATTTAATTTAGTAATAAACAATAAGTTTTTTTTGTTTGTTTGAAGGTAAATGTCTATATCTGAGAATATATTAGAAACCATTTAATTAAAAAGTGAATATCATTGAAATAGTTTACATTGTTCCACCTAATTATTATTCCATAAGCGAAATATTGATTTATCTTCATTGATGATCTCATTATTTTAGTTTTTTATGTTTGAAATCACGGATTCAAAGTCATGTGTAAATGCTAACTAGTGGACGTATATTAGAGAGAAAATAAATGAATTATATATATATATATATATATATATATATATATATATATATATATATATATATATATATATATATATAATATATATTCTTCATTGCAAAAATAGGCAGGTAACGTACGTGTGTATGCACCTGGAGTATAGTAGTAGTAGTTTCTCCAAATGCAAAGTATTTTTGTTCTCTTAAAGAATATAACCATTTGTTGTTTATATGTACTTTAAGTTTTATTGATTATCACGAGTTTGTTTCCACAACAGATCTATCTATGTATATACAAATGAGAAATTCATGGTTTCAGTCATACGATTTCGTTACGAAATTTGAACGTTATGTGTATCATATGTTTCCCATTGCAAAATTTGTAATTTTATAGACCATAACGTTATTTCATTGATTATATCATCATATAGATTAGCAGTTATCGTGAAATTTGATTATCAAACGTTGATTAAGTAAATCAATATATTTTCCCTTCTGCTGAAAGTACATAAGTATACTTGAAGACATGTTTGCTGAAAATAGGCCAAAGAAGCCACAAAGAAACAAAACAAACATACTTCACACACTTGAATATCAGGTTGGATTATCATAGCTATAGAGAAATTCCATAAAATACAGAATACCAAATAAATGAAAATACTGATACACTAACAGTAACAAATGAACTGGAGAACAAGTAATAACAGATCATCAATATGAAATAAACTATCCATAGTAACAATGTGTTTGAAGTTTGTGGTGGTAAGACATTGAATAAATATGTTTGGTTTTGCGACAATTTCTACTCCATGTCATGTTAACATAAACGATCAAGAAGTTTTGTTGACTTATTAACTTTATGATATCTATATTTAATATCAGCTTACAGTTATTCGATGGCTCCGTCATATGGGGCGGTAATTTAAAGATGTGTATATCAGTAACTTGAAGAAAGATCATTATTATTTAACAGGGATACATAAACACTTAAAGCTCTGTAATTTATTTTCGTTTCTACGATATGAATAAGAAATATAAAGGGAAATTGCTTCTCTAATCATTTTTACCGTTTTACTAGAATTCTAATGCATATCCAGTTAGTCAGTATACAAAGTGAAAAGTGTTAAGATTGGATTAATGATTTCAGGTAAAGAAACTAACTCATTTGAAGCACTTTATGATCTCTATCAAATAATATTTTAAACTATGAGAATATACATCCTAAACATATAAACAACTTGTTGAAACTAGATAAATGAATCGAGATAAATTTGATTATTGCATTATGTAGTTGCATACATTCAATATATAATTTGTAAGCATGTCTTAACTCATTGGGTGATATGGTGGTTGGTTTATGGATTTCATATTTACTCAGTTGTGTTTAACAGTTTGAAGTTTCCTTCACTTTATATAACAGATGTATTTTAAAAAGAATAAACTGGTTATAACTGCTATTTAAGCAGTTCCAGTGTAATAGTTTTCAAATAAAAAAGACCGTTATATTTACTCACACTTATTTGGCAGACATCAAAAGAATGAATAGCACTCGGCAACGACTGTAAAGAAAGTCCAGGTTGGAGATTTCCAGTTGGCGATATATGCTCCACGAGGGGAAATATGTGTTAATATGTATTATTAGATTGGTGTTACAAAGTAAAAAAAATTAGTTGTATATAAGTAGTAACCAATCTCAAAAGTGAGGAATGGTAAATATTTTGTTTTATGTAAATATTAATAACTCTGTCAAATAAACTATATTTGAGTAGGTAATGGGGTTAATAAACTAAATTCGTTTTCGTAATCATTATACTATTAGCTACTTATTTACTAAACATCCTACTCTTACTAGGGACGGTTAACAGATGGGCGTGGTACTACAATTAACTGTAAAGACGCTATATTCATTATGACATCGAATGTTGGAAGTCAAGTTATAGCTGAACATGCGCAACAACTACGATACGTTTCCGGAAATGATGGTTTGTTGTTATCGTTACTTTTTGAACTCATTTATCATCACTGTTTAGTTTGTCATTTAATAGTACAACATATAGTCTAACACAAAAGTCCATCGGCCTAAGTTTTCATACTACATATGTACGATGTGATAAAATTAATGAGACTCATTGTAACACGAATCGAAATATTTTTGTAGCAATTTTGTTAAGAAAGACTAGAGATTGACAATATGTTTCGAAAAGACAATGAGAAGGTATGTATGAATGAATACTGGGATTAAAGATCAAGAGGAACACAAAGAGTGAAAAAATTTGAACCATTATGACCGACTTGTCAAACATCAACCCATTAGGGCTAATGAAGCATCCAAGATAATTCAGTTGGTCAATGCATGGAACTATTTCGCTCCTCGTTATTAGTTTAGGGGTTGATGTAGATTAGTGCTAAAGCAAAATTTTATATGTGGGGGAGAGAAACACGTCTTAAATATGTATTATTCAAGACAATTAGAAGACTGCTTTCCCAGCATCTTCATCAAAAAGGACTATTTCGTCTGCGTACTCCATGTCGATTAGTGAGTTTCTAGGATGGAGATCAATCTTTGACAGTTGTCTTTTCCTCGTTAAGGATCACCCTACACGGCACCAGACTCCTTAACAATCATTAGATATTCAAGTCACAGCGTTCATATCGATCCATATTTCCAAACTCTAGTTAATTCGTGATATCGGACGGTCGGTATTTAACTACATCTTGGTTGGTTTCACAGGTCACGGCTTCTGACTTAGTGTTTTTAGCATCCGTCTTGGTGCTAATTACGAATGGAGACAATCGTTATTTATTTAGGTTATTTTCGAGTTGTCAGTTCATCGTATAAAGCCTTAACAGGTTGTTGTGTTCATAAGATCTCGGTATCCTATACCAAATGTTTGTCTCGATTTTTCTTACCTGTGACACAGACGAGACGTTTGACTACGTATCAAAAATCATGTAAGCTCAATTTTCTCATTCTGTTACTTTACGAGTGCGAAACTCCGAATGTTGTAGATGGCATTTATAAGTTGACAATATACGACAAGAAATGTTTATTAGCATTATTTTCACATTTCGAATCCAATGTCTATTTTCCTATCTAAATTTACTTCAGAAGCTGACATTGAAATATCTCGCGACTTTAAAGAAAAAGTTATGCGTCCGATATTAAGGGTAAGTAGAGTAGGTAGGTCAGTAACAATGATGACTAATAGACTGTTATCCATTATTTCAGTCTTATTTCTCATTTATTTAGTGTCAACCATAAACTTATTTAGATATATTGTTATATAAAACAATGTCTTAAAATCTCATCGCATCTTATGGATATATCATTGAGTTCGAATGTAGGACTGGCACATTTGAATTTGGTTCCAGTAAATAGTCCCCTTAAGTATTATGATTCAAAATTGATCACAGTGACAGATTTGCATGCATTTTTTGTTTTACTGTAAGTCGTAAACTTATATTCCCTTTATTCTTTTGAATAGAACGTTTTGCACTCAGATTTCCATTGTTGATATGAGCTGTCACAACCAGTACAGCTTTATGCCAGGTCCTGTATTGCTTAAAGACAGTTTCATCATAGCTCTTCGATTAAGTGGGACTGACTGAATCAATGATTGTGTTATTCACCGATGCCAGTTTTGTTGTTTTCTTACTTCTGAATTCCTAATTCCGTTCTTTTTTTGAAAACTTATATGCGGTTTGCGCGAGTAGTAATAATCGTATCCGCTCACCGGTGATTACGATCCAGGTGCATTTTCAGAAGTTCTGGTGCAAGGCTACTAACATGTTTAGTAAATTAAGTATAAGCTAAGACAGACATCAACGTTGGTAAAATCAAATACTAGCCTTAAATTGACTGAATTCGTGAAGCCTCGACAATATCTTACTTGTTTCAAGATTTAAAGGTTGATAGTTAGCTTTTCTACGTGAGGTTTTGGATACATTGTGATAAGACTTTAGTTGTAACGATATATATATATATATATATATATATATATATATATATATATATATATATATATATATATATATATACAATGATTCTTCAACCGATGTCATTTTCTTATTACAAAGGAGGTAGATCAGACCATTTTTGAGTTTTATTGCTTCGTTAACACTTCCTTTACTGACTATCTAGCCGTTATTGATTCAATGGAACTTTGAGAAAGATGTGTTATATCCTTTTTTAATTTGGTCGTGTTATTTGATTCGAGATATCAATTTATTTTTTGTTGGAAAATATTTTAATTTCAAACGCAAATGGATGTTCACTTACTACACATTATCATATCTCAGATAGTGATCGATTCACACAACTATTCATTGAATTTTGGACATAAATAGTAGTGAACAAGCAACTAAATTTTATAGTTTAAAAATTCACCTTAATTTACTGTCGCGTAAATTGTTTATCACAGCATAATGCAACGACAGTCAATTACGATTCTTCATGTATTAACTGATATCGAAATCTGATTGATAGTTATGTACCACCGTAGGTCAACCGTTTAAACCATCAACTTTGTAACCTAAATTTTCCTGTACTTCAATTAGTACGTCCGTAATTCAAGTATTTTGCAACCGTTAACATTAGTTACGTTTTTATATATTTCTAATTGTCATGGATTCACTTGTAATAATCCTAATAATTTGCTATCTAATTTTTTTCTATAAATATTACAGAGACATTTTCTTCGTGATGAATTTCTTGGTCGTATTAATGAAATGGTTTACTTTTTACCATTCTCCACATCTGAACTTACCGAACTAGTGAATCGTAGTTTAAAAAGTTGGAGTGAGAAGGTCAGATTTTCTTCTGCCATTAGGTTTTAAAAGAATTTAATTCCTGTGAAACAAGAACTAAGTATATATGAAACAACGTCGAAAAATTAATAGAATGAATGATGTTTTTAGCTGAAAAGAATCTGATACTAGATAATTATAATTTCACCAATCTTAAATGTGAAAAATTGACTATTTCGCCTTATGGGATAAGGCTTTAGAATAACACAGATGGTTGGAATCAATTATTCATAGTTGGCCTGTGTGTGTTAACCAATTGTTTAGAGATTTATTAAGTTAAACAATTTTCCAGACTGATTCCCCTAAATAAGTCTCTTTAAAATGATTTTTTAGAGGTCACAAGTAAATATGCTTGAAATTCGCAATTGATGTCGGTGATACATTTTTATGGAAAAGTTAACATTTAGTACAACTGTGAATTCTTCAGAAAGATTTAATCTACTGTCAATGAGTTCAGATATATAAAAATGAGAGTTTAAGAAATAAGTTACGAAAAGTAATGGAGGATGTATGAATTTATTATTATATCAGTTGTATTGTGGCAATCACAACATCTCACTTATGCTAGTTTCACTATATTTCTGATTTTCATATATGTGAAATAATAGATGTTTTTAGGTCAAGTTAGGGGATGTTGTAGTTTTAGTGATTTCATTTTTTAGGTGAACTCATGTGTGCTACGGCATAAGTTAACTTTAAGAAACTATGTGTAAATCCTATTTACGCCTAGTATCTTGTTGAATCTTTTCACTATGGTCTGTTACACAAATTGCTTGCTAGATTTTATATATGCTTAATTTTATAAACTATCAGTTTTTTATGTAAAATTTGATATATAACCTAGAGTAATTTTTGTTGTAGGCATTGAAAAGGCATTCTCTCACAGTAACATGGAATCGTGAAGTAGTAGATCTTATTGTTGATGGATATGATGTGTATTATGGAGCAAGATCAATTAATTACGAGGTAAGACTAGCAGATTTCATCGCGTTTTTATAGGTCATACCACTAAGGATTCTAAATCAATCCTCTATGACTTTTAGATGAGTAGAAGTGTTTGTTTTAGTAATTCCATCGACTTAACCGGCCTTGGTACAGATAAAAGTAACCACTTCATTAAATAATTTTACATTGTGGAAACTGTAGTCAATTATCGTTTACGATCGATAAATGCCAGTCAGTCAGCTACAACGTAGGACCAGGCACATATATGAATCGGTCCAGGTTGCCATACCGCATCAGCACAACAAGATGAACACCGGATTCATAAAAGTAGTTAATTCAGAGGTGGTAATATATAAAAGAAAGATTGCAGATAGAGATATAGTACAAGAAGAGAAAATTGGTTCGTAGAAAGAAAGATATGAAGCGATTTTAATCTCTTAGTTTAAGGGAAGACAGGGAGTGTATACACCGACGCCATTGTGATCGATTCTGAGCCATGTCACCAAGAGTCTCCAACCATTGGTTACGACAGTCACGCGGACCCCAACCAAGTAGTCTGCATCTACCAACATGGCTCAGACTAGAAGTTAGTGACTTCAAGCACTGATGCCACGTTTTGGTTTGGCCGCCCCTAACTTTCTTCCAACCATCTCTAACACCGGTTAGCATTGCACGTCGTGGTAATCGGTGTTCAGGCATACGTAACACGTGGCCCAACCATCTCAGTCGATGAAGATTCATAACCTCATCAACTGATTTACCATCATTCCCTAATACCCTGCGTCTAACCTCACTATTACTTACCCGGTGATCCCAGCAGACGCCAGCAATATTTCTAAGGCATCTGTGGTCAAATACTAGTAGCTTACGAGTGTCTTCTACTCTTAAGGCCATGTTTCGCTGCCGTAAAGTAAAACAGAACGGACTGCCGCGCAGTATACTCGTCCTTTTATTGATAGACGGATATCTCGCCTTCGCCAAGGTGACGTAAGTTGGCAAAAGCCAAACGAGCTTTTCGAATCCGTGCTGAGATTTCGTCAGACACCAACCCATTAGGGCTGATCAGACTTCCAAGATAAGTGAAGTTGTCAACGCGTTCGACTACTTCACTCCCTATCCTTAGTTCAGGTGTTGACGCAGACCAGTCCTGAAGCAACAACTTGCATTTAGAGGGAGAGAAGCGCATTCCAAACATTCTGGCATTGTTACTTAGTGCTACCAAAAGACTCTGCATTTTGTCAGCGTCTTCACCAAACAGGACTATGTCATCTGCGTATTCTAAGTCGATAAGTGGACCTCCTGGAAGGAGATCAATACCCGAGAATTCAGTCGACGAGAAAGTTATTTCCATCAGTAGATCTATGATGAAGTTAAACAAAAATGGGAAAGTGGACAGCCTTGACGGACACCACTTGAGGTTGCAAAAGTAGATGACAGTTCGCCATAAGCTCTGACTCGACTAGTAGTGTTCGAGTAAAGAGCCTTCACAAGGTTTATGTACTTCTGGGGTACGCCTTTCAATGACAGACACTGCCACAGAGTCTCGCGGTCTACAGAGTCAAATGCTGCTTTTAAGTCAAGAAAGACCACCATTGTCGGACGCCGATAAGTATGCCTGTGTTCTAGAATCTGACGAATGGTGAATATGTGGTCGATGCAGCCACGACCAGGTCTAAAGCCAGCTTGGTTCTCTCGTGTTTGCAGTTCACGAGTCTTAGTTAGGCGTCTGATAATTATCGAGGCTAGTATTTTAGATACTATGTTTGTTAAACTAATCCCTCTGTGGTTGTCACAGGATGATTTTGACCCTTTCTTATATATTGGGACGATAAGTGATTGCGACCAGTCAGATGGGATAACGTCTAATTCCCAGATCTTAGCTAAAATATTAGTCAACCTAATCGCTAAAATTGGACCACCATCCTTAAAGACCTCTGGAGCCAATCCATCTGGACCAGCTGCCCTTCCTCGTTTCAGATTAACTATAGCCTTTTGAACTTCAGCAAGAGTTGGGGGACCTACTTCAATGTTCCATTCACTGTCTGGGAATGGAGGGTAGTTGTAGAGTAGCTGAAGGCCAGCTGAACTGTTCTCTGAAATGTTCCGCCCATCGTTCTAAACGTCTGGACTGGGAGCAGATGAGAGTATCGCTTTTTCCGAAATAATCTCACTTACACTTGACTTATTAATTCCAGTTTCTTTTATTAGTCTGTAAAGCTGTCTTGTGTTCCCTATAGTCGCCGCCTTTTCCATCTCTTTTGCTTTCGTTGCCCACCACTGCTCACGGTCGTTCCTTAGACTTTTTCTTAACCTAGATCTGATTTGTTGTCGCTCTTCATCATGTTCGGAACCTGATGGGACGAGTTTGCGAGAATCCATCAGTGTGATAGACTTTGAAGAAATCCACTGGTTCTTTGTAACTCTGTGGTTTAAGTCGCTAATAGATGTCACTGCTGTTTCCACAGCTGCTTGTATGTCTTTCCAAGCAACATCTGGGTCAGCCTCGTCTTCAGAACTACCTAAGTGTGACCTCAGTTGTTCCTGGAACCTACTTTTGGTTTTCTCGTTACTCAACTCAGTTCTAATGGGTCTTTTTAATGTGGCTTTTTTGCGTCCAGTGAGGCGCAAGCAGATGCGTGCCCGTATTAGGGCATGGTCGGAGTCCAAGCAGGTACTCCAGAATGAGCGACAATCTTCTACCGACCCTCTCCAACGATGACTGATGGCAATATGGTCTATTTGAGTCCATCGTTGGTTTGGTGTAGGGGGTCGCCATGTTAGACGATGTCTCTCCTTATGCTTAAAATTTGTGTTTGCTAAAAATAAACGATTGTCTGAGCACAGTTGCAGCAGACGATCACCATTATCTGTTCGCTGTGCCGGAATACTAAAATATCCACCTAAATGCCTTTCTGTTTGGTTTAAGCTACCTATCTGAGCATTAAAGTCACCCCTACGAGTACTATGTCTGAGCGTTTAGCTTTCTGAAGAAGTTCAGAAAGCTTTCTGTAAAATTCATCTTTCACTTCATCTGAGCTGCAGTCAGTGGGAGCGTAGGCAGAAACGACGAAAAGGCAACGACGTGTGTCCCTATCCTTCCGAGTTCTTACGGAGCCGTTTAGCCGAACAGCACATAGACGACTGTTGACGGGGATCCACTCTAGCAGTGCTTGTTCGCCCTCATGCTTAGTGCTATGCCTACACCTGCCAGTCCACGAGAACTGGCCATCGGGTCACCAGATACACGGGGGTGTATCTCGTTGGCTCTCCGTTTTGCCGAGGTGAGGTCAAGTGAATGACCACACTGGAATCCTGTATGCGTGTTTCGGAGACACAGCATACATCAATGGAAAGAGACTCTAGGGTTTTAGCCAAGGAAGCCTGCTGACCGATTTGACATAGGGTGCGTACGTTGAAGGCTCCAATGTGTAGTTTGGAGCGAGGTTTCAGTAGACCTGGGACAGAGTTTTGAGCACTAGAATCGTTGGCTATGGTGACACTTGAGGAGGAAGCCGAAGAGGAAGTTTAGAGTTGAAAGTCGATGTAGGAGGAATAATAGGAATTGAAGAGGAAGGTTGATTATGAATACAGTGGTCTTGGGTGCTGTTAGAGGTATGAGGGCGGTTATCACTTCCCGGTTGCCCACACCGTGGAAGGGTTCTTCTGGAGGTACCTGAAAAGGAAATTGGATTAGAGGTGGTCTCAGTGACCTGAGAGCGTGACCGCAGTGCCCAAGGGACAACTGCTTGAGGCCGGTCGCGCACGGCCTTTTCGTGGAGGTTTTGACGTGTTAGCTCCGTTCTTCAAAGGGCCTTACCGCCGGAGACGGAAATCCGTGAGGTAAGGTGAGGTGTGCATTTTTAGGGTCGACCTTTTCTAACCCCACCCCTCCTTGTGGGAAGGCAGCATCGCTGTCATGCTGGTTGTCTGAAGGAAACACCTTACTGCTGTCACACCTCTGTACAGTCAGCAGTACGACTTCGCCTTCGGACCTTGGGTTTGTTGCTTTTAGTCTTACCGCTCTTCAACCGACCTGTCTGACATGGTAGGACCTTGAGGAACGGTTGTTCCAGCCAGTATAGCTCGGTTGCTTCATCACGATAGGCAAGCCCGACCACCACGTCAAGGTAGCAACAACGGTCGGGAATGAATGAAGGTGTGGCCATTGACTTACTACTATCCTATACCAGCTAGCCGGGGAGTGAAACGTTTTCCTTATTGTAAAAATTTTCTGCAATACATAAGTTGTTAATTTCAAGACAAAAACTTCAAATGAGGAGATAAAAACGCCTTCATTTTTTTTGGGAACTACTATATTGTGCAGATAGTCAGATTTACAATTTCGCTAATAGAAGAATAATGAATACCTTTTTTTCTCATATAATCATTGCTAGACTATTATTACGAATGATATAATTAAACAACAATGTGATAACTTAATGGTTAAGACATTCTAACTTCAACCACCAAGTCGCAGTTTTAAACCCCATTCTGCCTACTTTAGTTTGAGCAACCAGGTAATATTAACTAGCCTTTAAATTTATACTATGACTTAAAGCCCCAAACACTTGATAAGTAAATATTCGTTAACATCAGAGCGAAACTATAAATCACATTTTTGTCTTTACATATTGAATGATACTTTACATTGGATTTATGTTTGATCAATTTTTTAGATTGAACGTAGGATAATAAGCCTTCTCGCTTTAGCTGATGAACAAGGACATCTAAATCCTGGCAGTCATGTCAACATCAGTGTTAGTCATAAAAGCGTTAAAGATGAAGCTTGGTCATCGAAAAAATCAAATGAAAACTTGGATCCAACAATATCTTCCCCACCGCGTATAGTACTTAATGTTACAGATGCAAAAGGCAAAATGAATAAAGTTCTTGATTTGACGCAGACCACTATTTCGTGGGCATGAGTTTATATATATATATATATATATATATATATATATATATATATATATATATATATATATATATACTATTTTAGGAAACCAACTTTTCGTGCACCATAATGATACTGACTGCCTACTCACACGAAGTTTTTGGCATACTACTTCAGGTTCTCTTGAAGAGATTTTCTAAAGCTTGTCAGTATATCCAGTGCATGTTGTACACAAATGTTTCATTTTAGTATATACAACAAGATTATTTATGAAAATACGTGGATTCATTTTTGTTGGACATGTGATAATAAATTTTCAGCAATAGGCGCCTCGTACAGCGGATATTTATTCGTCTTTCGTACGTGTTGTGAAACATTGCTTCCTGTCCTTTTTTAAAGAGATAACGGCTTCAAGCCTTGAATAACGCATATAGTTGTAGTCTTTTTCGACAGGATCACTTACTTTGCTCATTTGATGTTAGATGTAAGGATGTATGCTTTAAAAACAAGGAGATATAAGTTTTTTGATCTGTAGTGCATAGTCTGACGTGAAAATATGAATTAAGGGCTGGAGTAATTACTTAACTGATTACTTTTTAATCGTATAAGAAAATCGATATTATTAGGCTACTGAGGGTAGATATACTATTTTTCACTCCTAATCTAAGTTATATCATTGTAATGCCAATATATCTACCACTCAATATTTTAGTGTAAGTCCTCTTAATAAGTTTTCACACAGTTTGCTCCGCATCTCATTAGTATCAGCACTTATTTTAAATAAATCTTAAACTTAAGTGAGATATTAGTTACTTCTCTTAAAACCGAGTATATCATAGAGTACGAGTAAGTTTGGGGGTGTACTTTAATCATAAAGGTGATCAAACTATGCGGGATGCAGGAATGCTAATTGAATACAATGTAAGTTGATGCAACAAAAACAATCCTCAATGTTCCAAATATAATTGCTTATTCAAGATGTCAACTAATTAAAGTACCAGGTTGCAAGGGAAGAGCCTATGGAGTGCAGCTTTTTCGCGTGCGTTAGGAAGACTAAATACTGCCTCTAAAACTTAACAACATAATATGATAACAATTTTCCAAACTTATAATTTTTTCCAAAATTAGTCATCTTGTATGAATCTTTTACATACTGATTAACAATCTGTCAATAGTTCCAAGGAGCAATCTGACATCTGTTTTGCAAGTAACTAACACTTCTAAGATTAAGGCAGTGATATATATATCAGTCTGATAGATGTCGTAGTCATGTCTATTTGTACCTCAAAAAAAAATAATAATCACCGGGTTGGTTTTAAGAATGCTGTAAGCGGTGTACGTTAGTCCTTTCATTCCACAAATGTTCGCAGTGAAGCCAAAGAAAAATTGGAAATGTACCTATAGCTGGGAGGCTCAAAGTTATGCATCCTTATGTTAACTGGTTTCAAAAGGATATCTGTTGACCCATTTTAGATTCATGTGAAATTAAATGTATTGCTACATCCATAGGGAACGATATTCCTGCTTACTAAATAATCTACATTTCCCCTACATCTGATAATAAGATTTTTGAACCAGTTTTAGATAAGTCTCTCTAAAGACTTTTAGGAGAGGTCAATAAGACTTATGGCCATGAAATGCGTATACAGTCATGTTGTTTCGGCTTAAAACTATTGGGTTAATGAAACGCTTTACCTGTAGATAAATGTCCAACAACGAAGTTTCTCAACGTCTCACCCTCTTTCTAGTCTTAAACTAAGTTGACAATTCATTCATAACTTTAGCAAACATTGACTTCTATCTTTTTTACAAGATGATTGTTGATCAACAGTAGAATCATTTACAAGGAGCATTAGACAATCAAGAAAAATAAATACGGGTCTCATTACGAAAATACTGCAAACCATTTATAGTTTCTCAAATTAACATCAGTAGGAAGTGAAGTAGATAAAGCACAAAGAATATTTTGCACATTCAGAACTCACTGTACAAACACTGTGGACTTTCAGATTATCGGAGATCATCAGAAGAATGTTCAACAGTATCGTCAAATATTACATGTTGACTTTGTTCATATAATGGAAGATCTGTGGCATGTGGATGGAAACCCGTCTTTTTACATTTTGACAGGAATGAAATGCCGTGATCAGGAGTTAATGAAAAACATTTAATATCATCGAATTTAGGAGCGCATACAATTGCAATCGCCTCCGGAAGCATAGTCTGATAAGAAAGCTGGCAGTGTAGATCAACAGCCGATAAGAAAGCAGTTTGAGTAGGATGTGTATGAATCCAACCCAATGTGATCAGCTGTCTCCTGTCTAAGTACTCAAATATTTCCTCTTCTTTATATGTAACACAGGAGTCTGGAGTACCACTTTGCTTCGGAATTAGAAGGTTTGTAATATAGAAATTGCCACTAATTAATTTCCCACACAGGGTCCCACAAGTTTCTCGATTTCCTTTAGTATTTTTACTAGCTAGATTCAAAAAGTCACTTATCAGATGTCTAGATAAATATGTTTTCGTCAAACCATAATTTCCTGCGTAGTTACTGTACAAAGATTTTGGGAGCTCATCGAGAGTATAGTTGAAGGCTTTATTAAAAGCAGGATATAACGTTCCGTTGACTGAAGATAAGTTAGACAAAGAGAGTCTATAAGAGTTAGGATCAACTGGATAGTCATCATACGGCTTTGAACTAGGATCAAGAAAGGGTACCGCTTGCCCATTAGTATTTACTTTCCATTCAGTTATACTAAGTGACTTTTTATACAGCTCATATTCTTCTGTGTACTTCTTTTTCAAATCATCCTTCAAGAATTCAGCAGATTTCGGAAGTAATTTACCAAGGCTTTTGAGTTCGCTTTGAACACGTGGATCCAGTCTCTGGTAACCATTATGATTAGGTAACTCTCTGATACACAAAACAGCTCTTATGGACAATATGTACGCTCTTTCTTTTTGGCCTGCTTCTGAGAACTGGACAGATAAGCGAAACATCGACCGGATAAACCGTGCATAATGGGAAATGTCTATATTTTGAATGATAGCAAAATCTTCGGCAGACTTAAGAAGAGCATCCAGACGTTCTTGAGGAGTTTGGTTCATTTCTGGAGGAAAGCTGTATAACTTATGATATTACATGGAGGAACTGGACCTAGAAACATATAAATGTATTGCATCAGTCAACTTCTTAGCTAGAAATAGATGTAAGTAAATAGTTGGTTTGGTTATAAAAAGATTTAAATACCAAAATCGCACAAATATTAACACCGACGAATTCACAGTTGTAAATAGTAAGCTATGCATCGCATTGAGTTTGTGGGATAGGTTCTTCTTTTACAACAGGGAACAGCATGGACTTCTAATGGTTCCTCTACGTTATGCTTATATCACACTTTCGCTAAGAAGTCTATGGAAGGAAAACTACTCTCCAATCAGCACAAAAACTGAAAATAAGTGGGGGAAATATTGTTCCATATCAGTAATTAAGTATAGGTTCACGTAACCAGCATTGATTAGTATATTTTTGTGAGATTTAGCGATATTTCCTGTCTATCTACAAGTACGTTGACGAAAATGCGGGTTTCCCACCACCTGACGAGATCAAGTTTTTAGTTACGAGGTTAACGACAAATGAAAATTATTGTCTTTAAAAATTCTCAGTAGTCGAGGAAAATAGTGATGATTCTGTAAAAACAGAATGTAATAACATCTGAAATAATCAGAAAACTTTAAAGTGATGTTTTGTCATTTATGGAAACTACTGCATATACTAGTTAAGTATAATCTTAAAACTTTCAACAATCGCTTGATGTCATTTAAACCATGAATGAATCACAGATAATTGAGAACATCAACTTACGGTCTCTTTTTTAAATCTTACATTGCTGAAAATACAAGGATTACATAAACTTATGGAAAGCACTTACATTTAATATACGGCTGATTTGTCTCTTGTGAATAAAATTTATAGGTACAGCAGAATACAGAAGTTGGACTCAGGTTTTTCATGTAGTCACTTCAGTATTTTTACCTAATTCTGAGGAACCATCATAACACAAGACGACCTAGTAAGAAATTTGTAGGAATAGAATAACTCAAGTATGAAATACAAACGTAAACTTGAAATTACAAACATAAAGCTTGATAGAAAGAAGTTAATCAATATTTGATACACTTTCAATGTTGGAATGTGGCTACGGACACCATAGACTGTAAAAGTGACCTATGCAAATAGACACAATCGCATCTTACAAAAATCTAATGTCTTACAAGTATTTCGACCCTAATGTAAATTTCGATAGATATTTAAGAAATGGGCTAATTGATCCAAATATGTGATAATGTATTGTTCCTCGTACCATAAAACTGCTCACATCTCATGTTTCTTGCTGCAGTATATGATAAGCTTTTTTAATTATCTTATTTTTCCTTGCAAATGCAAAGACCTCACCATTTTTGAAAAAGTAACCCATTTCAGCCGGAATAATTTGCTCGGGTTTTACTTGAGAGAAAGAAAAATTCGGGAAAATAATATCACTTAATCTATGATCACTGCTGAATTTGTTTTCAAAGAGATTCATATCAAGAGACTTTGTAGACTAATTGGTTAGTACTGGACATATTTGCTTAATAATAGGCGGCACCGAAGAACACATCTAATTTTCCAGTGAAGGTTTAGCCGAACGTTCACATAAGCCAACTTCCATATTTGCAACTTTAACAACAAACCAAAATAAATCAAGGTATTCATGGTTACATGAAATTAGGATGAGAACTACAGATGTTAGTCAACTGATTATAGGCATCGTAGGAATCAGCACACATATGCATGTTCCAATTTTCACATCACATCTGCACAGTGGGATAAGGTGATACAATGACAGAACAAAGCTTTATATAATCCAAACTCATAAATTGTGTTGTAGAAACAAACTTGCCGCTGAAACGCTTATTCTGTTGTACCGATGGTATTATTCAACTGTTTGAGTTTATGTGGATTCATTAGATATGCGAAGTTACATTTATAGATCTCTTTCAATTGTGATATACCAAGGACTGAAGTTCCATGACTAGTAATTAATGTTAACCAGAGCAATTTTACTAACCAACATAAGCCGTAAAAATGTCCGCATAGGTCTTAGCATCTGGCTAAGGAACGAAGCTATGCCAAAACAAGGTACAGGGCGACGTAACAATTAGATCGTTATGCTCTGCTTCCGATAACACCCTGAAGCGGCTTTCGCTAGTGAGCTCGGAAAACCTTAGATGCTTTTCTTTGTGCCAGTAAACAATGGAATATTCGGTGTGCGAATACTCCCGCAATATTACATTTCAAGTTTTTAAATATTTCAGCACAATGAATTTGAGGATGATTAGCCCAAGCAACAAATAAAGGGAAAATAAGGGTGAACAAAGGGGACGAAGGCGTTAATAAAGGGGGACTGTCGCTTTTTCGGCTTCGCATCGGCTATTTAGGGGAAATTTCGATTTTTACCCCCTTAAGTCGTGTATTTGGGGGAAATTTGTCGACAATTATACGTAACGTACTGTGTTTGAATTTATGTACTAATACACACATACAATCAGGAAAAACATTTAACAGTAGTGAAGTTTTTGAAACAGTAAGAGCAAAACAAACGGGCGGACTGAACAGATTAAGGTGCGGAGTCCATTATGTAGATGATGTCAGTTTGTGATGAAATCGAGCTCTTTAAATACAGTGGGTCGTTTTTATGCCTACCAAGTCATGGACACGTCAAGTGATGTTTTAAATTTTATTGTCAGTCACGAAAACAAGTGTTTTGCATGAGGCTCTGTCTAAAAGGGGACTATGTGGCAGAATCCACACTAAAAACTGAAACAAGTATACGACCTTAAAGTACCGTCTACTTGAGAACTTCCCGCTCTGTGGCATTACCTTCAGTGATAATCTCAACAAGTATAGCGAGCTTGGAACAATTAGCTTTTTGGTGTTTCTAATCCTCATCAAGAACTGAAATAATGTTTTTTGCAGCCCAACCTGATATTAATATCTTCACAGACACATAAGATCCAGGTTCTTGATTACTTCACGTTGCTATTACTTACTTACTTACTTACTTACTCCTGTTACTCCTAATTTGGCACAGGCCGCTGACCAGCATTCTCCAACCCACTCTGTCCTGGGCCTTTCTTTCTAATTCCATCCAATTCTTGTTTATTTTTCTCATGTCTATCTCCATTTCCCGGCGTAATGTGTTCTTTGGTCTTCTTCTTCGCCTTTGGAGTTGAGGATTCCATGTGAGGGCTTGCCTTGTGGCGAAGTTTGATGCTTTCCTCAACGTATGTCCTATCCACTTCCAGCGCTTCTTGCTGATTTCTTCCTCTAATGTGACCTGGTTTGTTCTCTCCCACAGTAGGCTGTTGCTAATAGTGTCCGGCCAACGGATCCGAAGTATTTTGCATAGACAACTCTTAATAAACACCTTTATCTTCTGAATGATGGCTTTCGTAGTTCTCCAGATTTCCACCCTATGCAGTAGAATCTGTCTTGACATTTGTATTGAAAATCCTGATCTTGGTGTTGGTTGACAGTTGCTTTGAGTTCCAGATGTTCTTCAGTTGTAAATATGCTGCTCTTGCTTTGCCGATCCGCGCCTTCATATTTGCATCAGATCCACCGTGTTCGTCAATGATGCTGCCCGATCATGTAAATGTTTTAACATCTTCCAAATCTCCTCCTTCAATTGTGATTGGTGCATGCTGTGGTGTATCGGAGAACCTTACTTTTCCCTTTGTGTATATTGAGACCTACTGGTGCTGAGGCTGCTGCTACACTGTTCGTCTTCTCCTGCAGTTGTTGTTACGTGTGCGATAGAAGAGCCAGATCATCTGCAAAGTCTAGATCGTCCAACTGCATCCTAGATGTCCATTGTATCCCGTGCTTCCCTTCAGATGTTGATGTCTTCATGATCCAGTCGATCACCAGGAGAAAGAGAAAGGGTGAGAGTAAGCAACCTTGTCTGACACCAGTCTTTACTTCGAACGAGTCAGTGAACTGTACTCCATGCACAAATTTGCAGTTTAGTTCATCATAAGAACTCCGTATTATATTGACTATCTTTTCAGGCACGCCGTAGTGTCGAAGAAGCTTCCATAGTGTTGTCCTGTCCATGCTATAAAATGCTTTCTCGTAGTCAATGAAGTTGATGTAGAGTGATGAATTTCATTCAATTGATTGCTCCACCATTACCCGTAGAGTTGCGATTTGATCTGTACACGATCTATCCTTACAGAACCCTTACAGAATCCTGCTGCTTTGCCACTCTTGATTTGTCTAATGGCCATGCTGATTTCTTCAATTGTTGGTGGGCCAACCCCGATTAGGAGGTCCGTGGGTGCTGATTCGATATTGGGTGGGTTCAGTGGGACTGGTCGATTCAAGAGTTCTTTGAAGTGTTCTACCCACCTGCTTCATTGTTCTTCAATGTTGGTGGTTACCTTGCCTTCCTTGATTTTCATTGGTCGTTCCGGTTTACGGTGATTTCCAGAGAGTTTCTTTGTTGTGTCATACGGTTGTTCCATGTTTCCTTCTCTTGCAGCCTTTTCCGCCGTCATTGCTAAATCTCCCACACATTTACGTTTGTCAGTTCTAATGCTCCTCTTCACTTGCTTGTTTACTTCTGGCTTTCTCTGCTCTTGTTCGGCTGGTATTGATTGCTGCCTTCTTGTTCTGTCTTTCTTGAATCTTATCCAGTGTATCAACAGTGATCCATTCCTTTTGATGGTGCTTTTTGTGTCCCAGAACCTCATGACATGTTGAAGTGATTGCCTCTTTTATCCCTTTCCAGTTGCTCTCCATAGTAGTTCCCTCGCCATTGAGTAGATAATGAAAGGCCTGGAACTTATTGCTGAGGACTATCTGGAATTTGTTGAGTTTGTCAGTATCTCGAAGAAAAGCCGTATTGAACTTTTGTGATATTGTCCGTCTCATTGTCCAGTACCTCTTGAGTTTCGATTTCGTCTTGGCGACCAGCAAGTGATGATCTGATGCTATATCAGCTCCTCTCTTGGTTCGCACGTAATCCATCGTCCTCCTGAACTTTTTGTTGATGCAGATATGGTCGATTTGGTTTTGCGTGGTGTGATCTGGTGAAGTCCATGTGATTTTGTGAATGCGCTTATGTGGGAATATAGTGCCGCCTATGACCAGTTTATCGAAGGCACATAGGTTTGCAAACCTCTCATCATTTTTGTCCCTTTCTCCCGATGCTTGTCGTTCCATGATGTCTTCATATCTGGTGTTGTCCATTCCAACCTTGGCATTTAAATCTCCCACCAGAATAGTAAAGCCCTTTGTTGGGTCTTTCTCGACAATTGACTGCAGCCTATCATAAAATTGATCTTTAGCGTCTTCATTGTAGTCATTGGTAGGTGCATAGCATTGGATGGCGTTCATTGACATGCCCTCTTTCTTTGTTTCGCAGGAGTCTTTGATGATCCTTGGTTCATGAGATTCCCATCCTATTAGCGCATTTTGTGTTTGATAGAATAAATGCAAATTCTTGTGTATGTGGGGCATTTTATTCTTCATGGCTGGAGTACAACAGGAGCTCCCTTGAAGCTAGTCGTTATTGTCCAACTTTCTTCCAAAGTGTATCACTGATTCCAAGCACCTCTATGTTGTATCTCCTCATTTTTGCATCAATTTGGAAGACTCTCCCAGTCTCCCACATTGTACGAGCATTCCATGTACCTAAATAAGTGGTTGCTCTGATTGTCAGAAGGAGCATTGGCCGCGTGACTTTTGAAGGAACTTGGCTTTCATCATGAGGCGTCATAACTCTTCTAAAAGAAGACCTTCTGACAGTTCCGTGCCAAGCTTATCTAGACAAGGCTATAACATCTGTTGCTTTAATTTCTCTATTGGGCCTCTGTTACCGAAAATGTGACGTGTGAAATAACTAGCTCT